CCCCCCCCCCCCCCCCCCCCCCCCCCCCCCCCCCCCCCCCCCCCCCCCCCCCCCCCCCCCCCCCCCCCCCCCCCCGGGGGGGGACTTGTAAAATATATCTCTTCAATCGGTATGTTTTATACCTCAGTAATAGGTTTGAAGTATAAAAATAATATACATAAGTACTTACTTGGTTATGGTTCCGTCGATGTCAGATATAACGATTTTGTGGTCGTACCGCCATCGGAACACATTGCACTTGCAGCGCGAAGTGCCTTGAATTGCCGTCGTCACACTGAACACCATCTCATTGATGCCCTCGCGCAGGTTCAATTTTTTCTGGTCAAATAATAAGAAGAATTTAAAAATTAAGTTTTCTTAAATTTTGAATTTCCAATTCGTCTGCTAATTAGCCAATTTCAAATCCATGTTCAATGACGTTTTTGACAAAATTCAATCTAGATTCAGCAATTGAGGACATCTTTTTAGGGCTCTAACATTATTACGTATAATATGAAAAAAGCCCTTGGCCTTCAATGCAAGACATTTCTTTAAATCTTAATCTTGCTCAATTAACACTCTCAGTAATGGCGTAACAATGAGAATACAAATAGAATAATCAAGCTGTCACAATTATATGCTGTGTTCAAGGTACATCCTAACCCTATATGGGTTAGGTTAGACCTGCCAAAAGATTCCGAAACTTTAAATTTAATTTTTTACTTTAACTTACGATTTGATCAGAGGAGAGTCGCAACGTCTTACGGAAGGTGGAATGTCTTCGCGAGCCCTGCTGCGTGTCTTGATCTGAATCTGAAGAGCTTTGCTCGTGACGATCACCTAAAATAATTTTATTATTTTAATAACTACTAGTAAAAATACGTATTTAAACAATAACAAAACAACCGTCACAGATAAATAGAAGACCATTTGAAATTTTTATCATGAGACTGATGCAACCAAAACTGTTAAAATAAAATCCTTATAGCCTACTTTATATGAGTTAGTTTTTAATTAAATTGTCTTTGGCCCTAGTAACGGTTTTTTGTTAACAGTTTGCTGTGCTGTTAATCTTGTAAAATTCCTTGTACGAAATATTGATACGTCATAAGTGAGTTAACTATCTACAACTAAGCTCTCCTACTGGACACTAAAACACCCTGCTTCTAGGAAAGGAAGACCAGACAACTTCCATAGATTTTTGAATTTATACGAAAATAGACATGCGAAACTTACTTTGATTGAAAATCTGTTTATCATCAAACTCGGGTATTCTCTCTTCAAAGTCTTCAGGCTGCAGATCTTGGATGATAACAGTGTCTTCTTTATTTTCTATATTTGGTGTGTTGTTGTCTACTTGATCCAGTTCCGCTAGATCCTTCACTTCTGACTGAGGTACTGGTTCCTTTAGCTCTCCTTGTTTAGGCGGAACGTCTGGCCTGAAAATAAAATACGAGTGCTCGTACATATATAATATGATAATAATAACTGATGTGTTAATAGTGGTTGTAGCTTAAAAACCTAGGTGTAGAAACACCAATAAACCATAGGTACAAATAAGTGTGAACAAATGTATGATGTATAAAAACTCGTTCATCTTAAAAATATTTCATACATAAAATAATCGTCGTACATACCACACAAAGAAGATAGACTCATTTGTTATGATAAGTTATCAACCTATTTTACAAATTTTGAAATCTCGTCTGAAAGAAACGTCGTCTAGTATGAATGCAATTGTGTTAAATTTATCGACCAATATCAATTTGTTTGTATGAGAAAATAGGGCTTTTAGTTAAGTTCATTTTCCTTGTACTGTTACGATGATATATAATAAAAAAATGCCATAACGTTTTTTCTACGTTGTACAAATATTGGAAATAGTCATCGAAAATTGGAAGTCCAGATTGGACTATATAAGAGCCATATGCCAGAAATCATATTTAAAATGTAAAACCACAAGATTATCTTTCAAATAAAAACAAAATCATGTCAGTCCATCGTTGTTTTATTGCAATTTAAAGTTCTATACCTCTAAAAAAAACACCCGTTATAAACTTATTATCTAGGTAACAGAAATTTATATTATATATACTTAGGAAATCTATTAATAAACAAATTAGCCAAAAAAAAATCTGAATTACGCTTAATATTAATTGTCACTCAACACTACGATAACTAGTGTTCCGCAACGTGACGGAATATATGACATTAAAATAGGCTATCGCTTGGCTCAACTCATTATACACGTGACTTTCAATCGTTATTAGGGCCTTTAAATACGAGCAACTATAATCTCTTTGTCGCAGTTTCGTCGTACTCTTCTTAGCTTACAAAATAAAACTTTTAAATCTTTTTATATTATTTTTTTAAACTAAGCTAGATTTCTTTTTTCATATCTTATATTAAAGTCTTCTTTATTATTATGCATGATGTGTTATTTAGCTTTTAATGTGTACTTTATTACTTTTGTTTTTGTAAGCAAGATTTACTTATATTTAAAGTAACTCCTATAAGCTGACCCATTAATAAATGAATCTCTAATTGTAGTCTTATAACTTTTCAATATGTTTTTAGGTATATCAAGTTTCTTATGATTTTCTATTTATTGACAATACATAACAAAAATGTACTACTACGCTTGCTCTAGCTAGATGCTTTAAAATTTGATCTTCTAAAATTACCAAAGTTATAGTTAAACAACAGTACCTATGTACTTGATTTAATTTTACTATGTAAACTCAACTTAAATGGTGCTCTTAGTTTCAGTTTCGTCTGATCTCTCCCTTAGTGCTAAGTTCAAACAAAGGATGTCTAGACGCAACATGTTATTGTGAATAACGTGTTTGTTTACGTTAATTCTTAATTTGTTTACATATTGTTTTCTTGCTATTACTTTAAGATTGCCATGCAATATTGATTCATAATTCATTTGAATTTTGAAAATTATAATGGCGTTCTGTTTGTATTAAGTGTAAAAAATATTAATATTATTTTATGCAGTTTATAAATTATATCCAAGACATTTTATATTATTCATATTAATAAATATTTATAAGTAATGTGAAATGAGCCTTGCCATGCTAGTGGAGCGTTGCTATGGGAACCGTAGTATGCTACGGTCGAGGCAACGTCCCGGTATTTAAGGTAGTTGAAAGTTTTTTATGCATTATAAGTAATTTAGTTGTTTTTGTAGCTTCGACTTTTCTTAATGTTAATATTATATATCTTTTCTTTGAGTTGCTAAACTTTCTCCGTTCGTTGCTTAAGGGAGCTAAAGTATCCACTGGTATCTCAAGTTTTTGTCATTACTTAAGTTGAGGTTCAAACTACTAGTTGATATTACTAAATAAATGCTTTTTCTGCTTAATCCTATTCCTACTTACTTTAAATTTATCAAAATAATGCTCAAGATTCTGATGTTACTTTTCAAACACATTTAAATACAAATATATATTGCCAAAGTAGGAGGAAATCGTTAAACATTTATAGGCTAATCAAGGCGACCTTCAGTAAATAACAAACGGCTTAGGCGAAGCGATAAAAAACATAAATTATTCATTAACGATTCGCAATTTTTTGTAAAGACACACCTTTATCAGAATAAAATAAGTCATAGTCATATGACCTTGATTTCAATATTTTTAAATAAATTTTTCCATCTATAGAGGCTGTCTCTTCAATAGCTTAGATCAGAAATATTTTTAAGTTATTTGTATATGAGTTGGTCCGCGTCAAATTTTGTTATTTTATTTATTAACATATACATTTCAAAGACATATTAGTTAAAATATAGGAAAAAGCTTGGAACCACACCTAGCAACATTTTGACTTACAACCAACTCTACTTGTTAAAAGAAAAAAAAGGGTTCGTGTACCTACTTATGTACGCGCGTAAGAAGTTATACTTCTTTGGCATTATTAAAAATAGTTTTTGATTGCATGCAAATAATTAATTACAATTAAATAATCAAAGACTGGAAAAGGAGTCATTATAGTCAATAAAGTTCAGTTTAGATTTTAAGTGTAACATAAATTCTATTATTATTCGAATGTTGTTTTTAAATTATGTCCAATGCCGTAGCATCTTCCGTGGGCAACTTCATTCTGTTAATTTTGTGTCACGGTGCGCGCGCATTGTAAAAGTTCACTCTCATCAATTTTTCACAACGCGCCTAAAGAAGTATAACTTCAATAAAAGTCATGTAAGAGAGATATACATGCAGAGACAGACAAAACAAAATCTCTTTTCTATCCTCTTATTGCAGAACCCCGTCATTGTACACTATTCCACTGATTTATTATGTAAATATGTTGACTTAATTGCATATATGAAATTTTGTTATACTGAAGAAATACTTTACGCTTCTACTAACCTCTTAGAATCCGTGTTAGATCTTCTCCAATACCACCACGAATATGTGCGAGGCTTCGCTGCGTCTGTCGGTTGAGACTCAGATGTCTCCTTATCCCCTTTGTCTAATTCTTCTAGCACTCGCTAAATAAAGAAAACCATTCATTAATTATACTATTTAATATTGAGTAGTAAGTACGTGAAAGAACCTTTCAGTAATCGGTATTAAATTAGGTAATCGAATAGTTTCTAAGTTTGATGTATATAGAATTAGTAGTATAAATGTATAGTGTTGGTTAAGAAGCTTAAATAATCATTATAGTATGTATAATAATTTCGCAGTTGATGATATATAAAAAAAATATTTGTTACATTGATGGACTTGCCTATATATAGGTATATCTTCCGATTTAATAAACACGTATGTAAACTTTTAGAATATTGAAACAGTGCATAGAATAACTGTTAAACATTACGATTTTAAACCGACGTAAAAACAATTTTTGAAATTGTATAATGTATGACAAATTTCGTATGTCCAAAATTTTTTGCAGACTAAAAGTCGTGATAATCCTCTGAATTTCAGTATTCTGTTTCAGTTATCATTTATTTGATATTTGTAAGAGATATATTAGTAAATACTTACAGTAGGCAGAGGCCGTCTATACGCCAACAGCGATAGTATTAGCGGTCCAGCAGTACGCCATGGGAGTGTGCGCGTCCCAATACGTACTTCCAACCTTCCTTCGGCCGCGAGCCGGCCGCCCATCGTACAGAACTCTTCATACGGAAGCACGTGTGAGACGGCACCTTCTCTTGCGTATAGTTGAACTTCACCTCTGAATTATAAAAAACTATTTAAATATCGAAAAGTATTTCATGAGAATAATAACAATACCAAAAAGTATTTTGTGGCAGGCGTGACTAGCTATCGCAATAAAAACTGTATCATTACAATTGGCCACTACCAACCGGTCACATGACCACATCTAATTAAATTCAATGGAAGATATAGGTGAATAGGTCTTACGCTTGTCAAAGTATCTTTGTCCCCTGATCTCGTCAATATTATAAATTTATAATACGTTAATTACAATTTCAGAATATTATTTCTGAAGCATTATTAATGATAATATGAATGAGGAACATAATACTAATTGTAAACAAATTTAACTTGGGCTTAAAAAATTAACGTTTTTTGACTTGGTTTTTCTAAATGACGCAAAAGTAGGTATTTAGGTGGACTTAATGCAGCTATGCATAGCTAATTTCATAAATTCCATTATTGTCATATATCATTTTCAAGTCGAAAGAACATCTACATATTTTGCGGTATGTGCAAGTCCTATTTCGGTAAGCACTAAAAATATTCATACTTGGCAAGATTCTATCATTGACGTAAAGCCAGAAATCATGTTCAGACAGCTGAATAAATATACAAATTAAGAGCGTAGTTAGGATAAGTCTACAAGGCACAAAGCTAGGCTAGATTCATACTAATATAATTAAGAACAATGGTGCGAGACTTAGGGTTCCTCCTTTCTAAATATTACACAATGCCATTATCATTTTCCTGCCAAACAGATTGTAAATGTAAATCTTTTGTATTTAACTAAATGTTTTTTATCAAAGACTTGTTTATAATATTTTCTATACATTTACATAAGTTAAGTATGTAGATAAGTTAGTTAACATAAGTACCGATTATCATGTCCTTAATACTAATCTTAATATATATAAATTACGTATCACGTTGTTTGTCCGCTATGGACTCCTAAACTACCGAACCGATTTCAATCCAATTTGCACACCGTGTGCAGTTTGATCTAACTTAAAAGATAAGCTTACATCTGAATTTATACCCGCAATATTATTTTATTGCAAAATATTTGTTTATTATTTGAGAGTCACAATTCTAACAGATGGCGCTGTGTTGAAAGTACCAACGTTTCAAATAAGCTAAAATTTAATGGGATTACCACCAAAAAACATTGTGGTCCCCATGACGGGTGTTCTCCTACCGTTTCCCTTGAATAGGTTACTACTATGTAATATAACTAAAACCTTAGCCACAGTAACGCTTGGCCGGTCTGCTAGTAGTTTTATATATCTGTCTTCCCAATATATTTACAACTGTATCGTTTTTGTGCGTAGTAATATTAGTTCTCTTTTAAAGAACAGCGACATTCACAATAGGAATACAAGAAATAAGGGAAAACTTTTCCAGCCGTCTTACAGGTTGCAGAAAATAAATACTTCATTTATGGGCCTAAGTATACGCTGCTATAACATGATTCCTAGTGAAATATTGGAACTGCCTTTAAACAGATTCAAAACACATCAAAAAAACCTTAATGTGTAAAGGTTACTACACAGTCAATGACTACCTGGAAGATAAAAACGCTTGGCAATAGTTCTAATTATATTCTTATAATTTGATTTGTTATCTTTGAAGTGTTATGAATATGTGTGTAATGGTGAATGTGGTAAATCACAGAACAGATTTTTTATTTTTTTTTACTTATGTAATTTTAATGACGTTGTGGTTTATGACATTTTCCTTTGAATAATTGTAATGTAAAGGGAGGGCAAACTTGCTGAGTTTCTTGCCCGTTCTTCTCAGAACAAGGCCTCCTGGTAGTTTTGCGAACGGATGGCGTAGTCTTGCTCTTTCGTGAATTTTGTAAACGTTGTTGACATTCATAAGTATGCTCTAAGAAGCATCTAAATTGAATAAACGTATTTTGATTTTGATTTTTTTGATTTTGTCATAAATTGATAATTTGTTTGTGAAACTATCAAAGCTGGCTCGCGACCTTATCATGTTATAAGGTCGCGAGAATAATAATTTTTGTATGGAATAAAGTGGAAATTGTCACAAAAGTGGCCGTTTACTGATTTTATACTCTTTTAAACAAAAAATGTCTGAAACTTACGAATGGTTAGTTGTAAAATAGGGAAACTTATGGCAATGTGAAAATCATATACATACTTGGCAAGAATCTTATCGTCATCATCAGAGTCCAATCCCGGTGGTTCAAGCGAAGCGGGCGAAGCCGGAGAAGCAGGTGACTGTGGTAGTGACGGACCATTGCCCGACTCGTATTCTTCCTCAGTAGGGCCTTGTTGAACGGAACCGCTAGTTCCTGTATTAATAAAAGAATATAATTTGTTTAGGTACATAAGGATAAACCATTTCTGTAATTTAAGTGATAATAAAACGGTGTGTAAAATAGACTTTATAGGAAATTTCGATTTTGTACTATACGTATTGAGGCAAACACGAGCCTTTTTAGGAGCGAGCTTCATGCAAATATTCAAAATAAAAAACTATTTGTGTGTGATTTTAAGCCTCGACTTAAAAACGTGTAGACTGATGTTTATTAGCTCTAACAAACGACTACGAGCAAGTATCAATTACTCATTTCCTAAAAATTAGGATCAAAACGGACTTACTGTGATAAGATTTCATAAATCAATATAATTTGTTAACGTACCGGAGGTACAAAGATCGAAAACATATCGTCGCGTATTTACATGAAAAATAGATATGTAATAACAAATAATATCTTACCTGACCGATAACGCTCTGTGTGGTGTTTGGGAAAGTACATGTTTGGGTCCACTTGACCCTTATCTATATCGTCTAAGTATACACCTTCAACACCCGGCTCCGCTTCCCGAGAGGAGATGAATCTGAACATCCCACTTAAGACCCCACGTCGCTCGTGCCTTTCCTCGTCCGAACTTAAGGGCTCCGTAGGGGAAGCTGGCTCAGCAGGGGATGCTGGTGAAGCGGTGTCAGTGGATTCCGTCATTGTCGTACGAATCGGGGGCTCAGGTAACTCCCCCCAGCGCCAGGACTGGGATGATTTATTCCCAGAAGTTGTTCGCGCTAATTCAACTTCCGTATCAGACTGTACCGGTGTACCGTGGCGAGAACCTTTCCTATTTAAAACAAACGATTTAAATCAATAGAAGCCGTGAAGGTAAAGCTTTTGTTTTCATTTTAAAATGGCGCTATTGACACTGGCTGAAGCTTCTATTGAAATAATTTATAGAGCAATATACGTATAATATTTTTAACATATTAAACTCTTAAATCAATACTCTATAAGTTTCTTATAAAACGGATTTAACACGATATTCTTATCGTAATACATGACTTCTTATTATTCGCTCAAAAGTTAGTTTTGTCACGTATAGCCGAAGCCGATTAATTCAAATTCTTTTCACTTCAAAATGGCAATTAAATCTCGGTTAAACTCGGTTTAATTTAGATGCATCGAAGGTTGAATAAATAATAAATATGTTCATTGTTCTATTCAACAATTAAAATTATTTTAAATATCATATAACCATTATTTGCAAAAATATTAATATTACACATTAATTTGATTAGTGAGAAATACTAAAAGATAAGTAATTGTAATGATTCATGAACTTTGTACGTGCGAAAGCGTCACTATGTACTTACGATTTTTCTTAATAGACTTTAAAGCGTGATAAACTGTATGAATATCGATTAATTGTTAGTTTGTTAGCAAAATATGTATGTGCAAATTGGACCTATGAGAATTTTATACGGCTAAGCTAGGCGAACGCCTGACACTAAAAATCAATCAAAGAGCTTAAAAAAACGAATTCTAGCTTAAAACTTTTGTATTCAAGTATTTGAGTTATGTTACATTTGATTAATTTTTAGTACTAGGGTATTACGTATACAAGCTTGGTGATAAGAAATAAATAATTTACGTATGTCTGGAGGCAGCGTGCACCTCGAACGCTGTATCAGACAAGGCCAATGGTATGCGGTTATCACCATTCAGCTTCAAGTTTGACATTTCTTCACTGCAATAACATATTGTGTTTAGCAACCATTTAAAAAAAAAACTAAGATAAAATTTAAACGCGGGTAATATTGCCTCAATAATACGTACAAAAAACGGATAAAAATAATGTTTAAATCTAATAATTTTTGGAATGTAATCTTAACCGCGTTTTGTTTCTCCGCTTTACTTTCAGCCGATATACATAAAATTTTAATATGTAGCAGTTGCTAATGATATGGCTTTGTTAACCATGAACGACTATGAAATTCTGATTTTGAAGCAATTCCTTAAACCTAAGCTTTCAATAAAACTTCCTCTTAACATGATGTAGGTAATACTTACTCGAGGGCAGCTGCCTCGGTGTCGCTAAAGAAGTGAATGTCTGTGGGATTAGGAATGGCGGTCGCACGAGTTTCAATCGTGAAATCAGATTGACTGGAAATAGAACTAGTTGAGGACTTTCGATGGTGCTTCTTCTTGGAGCTGACTTTTCTTGTTTTCTTCTTCTTTTTTCCATTGCCATTCTGCTTTGGGTCTTCAACTGCCTCTATGGGCCTAAAGTCATTGTGCTCACTTATTTTTTGTACTGTTTGGCATGCTTCAGTGTCGGGGCTGAGTTTCGTCGCCGAGAACGTTTTCGCAACTAGATCCGGCCAGTCTGTACCTTCGTTGAGTCCATCCATCTCAAACAAAGCTTCATTCTCATCATTTTTGTCTTCTTTGGTATTTTTCTTTGAATATTTACTTAGGTCAGGTTTCTGCATTGTCTTTCCATCAGCGGTGTACCTGCGACAGACAAATAGTCTTATAACACAATTGTTTGGTTGAAGTAATATCAATACTTTCAGCCAACTGTTTTGATCAGAAGCATTCCTGTTATGAATAAAAATAACATTTTGAAAAAAGTCTAATCAGAGAGATATAAAAAGTATGAAATTAAGCCTACATTAAATTGAAACGCTTTCTAGCTTGACAAAAACCGATGACGTTGTCAGGAGGCAATGCCATTGCCAGGCGTTCAACTCGTGCGCATTCGCGCATCACATCGAAATAAATCCTGCTTAACTGGCTTTAAAATAACTTGACACACTTTCTACAGCAATGGCATATTTTTTTACAACTTTGCACAACTCATTTTAATGATATCTGTACCTAAAATTTAACACAACAAATAGACAATTAACTGAAAAAGGTTGACCACTATATAAGCTAATGTAGAACGAAATTTATCTTGAGAGAGAAGAATTTAAACTAATGATTATATTAGAGTTATTAAAGTAATTCTCTTAAGCAATGTCACAGATCAGCTAATAAATACGTCAAACTATTTGAACCTTCATTACACATGACAAGTCAATTAAAACATCTACTTAATATTCGTAACTACTTATGAAAGTATAATTTATGCACACAATTTTCTTAGAATTTACTTTTTATGTATTCTCGATACCGATCATAGACATGTATGGAGCCATTTCCATTTAAATTCAATGTCACGGTTGATAAATAGGTACTAGATATTTTTACACTTTTATGTGCCTCATACTGTAAGGAATCGTCGTCGACACGAAATAAACAATTAGAGTGATTAGTTTATCTATCGATCCGATCAGACTAATTTGCACGAAGCAAATTCATATTAAAATCGACTAACCTTGGATATTAAGATCGCAATCCAACCTAATTATTAAAACGATTATAATCGCGAAAATGAGTTTGAATATTATATTAGACCATTTAAATTTTATTGTATTATGTACTATAGTACACAAAATTTACCTCCGCTTTGTGTAGTCAGATGCTTGGCCATGATCTGGTTCCACTGCAGAGAGGGAGTTTCTTCTTCTAGGCTCGTAAAGGTCTTCAAATCGATTTGCCGGTATTGGCGAAGTGGCCAAGTGAGCTGAACATTCGGCTTCATCTTCTCCGACCTCTACTACGAAAAACGCCTCGCCTGATTCACCAAGCTTCATGTGAATTGGCAGAGGCTCTCCATTGAGTTCAAGGTCCACCTATAAGTCACGTCGATTAGTTATGTCAGCTTTTTAATATGCTCTTAATATGCCAGCAAATGGTTGTTTTGCTTAATCAAATGGATACTAAAAATAATCACATTTTTCTAAGTAGAGAATAGTCACTGGCATGTCCTATTTAATAGACCTTTGTTTATGTTTTTACTCATATACATAATTATTTATGTGACTAATATAATACATGGTTTTGCAATAAAACATTTTTATATGCCTTGTCATTGTGTCTAACCGTTAAATGAGGATTTACCTTAGAAATATTAAACCAAAACCTAAGCATTGAACATAATAGAGACAAAATGTTCCATTAGGCACTTGAAAACCGTTTTCGTATTAAAACAGGTGGCCTCGTGAAGACAAATATTTGTGCCAATTTTTTCAAACATTCAAGCAGAATTTGAACCCGCGACTGGCATTATTCCAACTGTGAATCAGTCACACATTTCCTCTCTCCTTTTGGCAATAGATAACACGACAACGATAAGCTATATTATACAATACACACTAAGGATGAGTATATCTACATGCTTTCATCCGGTGTGGTGTTAACGAAAAGTGGCACGTATTGCCCACCAAGCAAAGTATATTTAATTACAAACTATTACGTTGAATGAGCCATGAGCAACTATTTTTTTTCAGAATCGTCGAGACTAGACGAAGTGAGCTGTCACGAGAGTCCACTCCCGCGAAGATTTCCATAATTTGTTTTGTTAACGTTTACTTATAGTTCATTGTTTCATACCAATTCATTTTTAGACTTTTACAGTCACGGTTTTAAATAATTTTCATAGAAATATTAATTGGTCATGGTTTATGAAATCTCGTTAAGAAATTAAAAAAGGTTTATATAAATCTCCGTTATAAATATAATATTCTTCAAATGGTATTATTATTATTAGCTGATTCGTGACTTTGCTTCGGTGTATTACTTAGATAACACTATACTCATTAGTTTAAATGCAACTCTCTCAATTATTTATTCGTTCATAGTTAAAACGTGAAATCAGTTGGTGACTGGTTATATGACGACATTCAAACGTCATTTCCTTTAGTAAAGAGTACATATTACCAATTCGTAATTACAATTGCAGTATCAAATATCACATTGTAACAACATTTACATATTACAAAAGAAATGTTCAGTCACATATGCTACTGAGATGCGTATATTTTTTGTTATGCGTTATTCAATTTGGTAATTAGATGTATAGCAAAAAATATTCAGATCGCTTCCTTAATTTATAATGACGTAAAATTAATATAGAATAGTATAATAATCAACTTGATAAATTGGCAACACATTTAATATTCCATGTTATTATTCTATTGTAAATTATTAGTGGTATTGTCCGAGTTTTGTCAAGTCTTATTAAAATGCAAATACATACATAGCAAGTTTCTATTTACCACATGGGGCAATGGTTTGCGTCATAAAAAATGAATGTAGCAATTGATTATATAACTGGCTATAAGCTTTATAAATTTAGCAAGATAAATGATATTGATTATGTATTACGTATACGAAATCGTTCAACCAAAATCGCTATTATTTTAGCAAAACTGCAAGGTCGCCAACATTATATAATGATTTGTTTAATCAAGTCGCACAAGGTATTTATAATCCAAATTAAATGCCTTGAAATTTTGATACATATTATGTACATGACATTTTATTATTCGAGTGTGTCAAGGTTATATGTGAAAAATTCTCGTTCCTTTATTTTACGACGCAATATGGCACATTCTTCTACATTCCTAGTTGTTTGCTCGCAATCGAGGTTCCTTGCCTTGAGACGTGCGGATATACATTTAGATGATTTTAGCCGACTATTCTAATATATTTTTCCCCAGACTGGAGCTGACAGTTTCGTATAGCTTTGGTACTTTACCAAATGATAATTTGTTTTCCGGAATCACTGCAAAAATTAAAGAAGGTTCTTACGATGAATAGTTTATATCTTGCCGCGAACGTGCGAGACAAATAATTATTAATGCAAAAATAAAAAGTAAAACGATGGCTAGCTCACACGTCAACGTCATGCCTGTGACCAGGTTCCGCTTCCGGAGATTGGACTGCGAGGTTTCTGTTCAGTTTTGTAATTTAATACAAATAAACAACGGACCGTATCTCCCTCCTTTCTGGTTTCTTCTATCTGTATATGTTTGCCATAGTCATTTTGTATGGTGATTTGATATTTTAAAAGAGTATCGAGAGTTTTTTCCGCCGGCTTTTTCTCCCGGCCTAGATCCTCTGTCTTCTTTACCAATGAGTAGGGACGTCTACCGATACAAATTTAATGACGCGGAATAAGTGATACCTGTATCTTATATTCCATAATAAACAATTGTTTTTCATATGAAAATAAAATTTGGTCAATTTTTTATTTAAATAATTATAAGAAAACTATGTCTGAGGTTTCTACCAGTATCTACACATTATTGCGGGAGGCCTTTTGATAATACAAGTCGAGAGAATTTACCGTAAGAAATAAGGTATTTAATATAGATTTCACTTGAAATTTCACACGACATAGTTGTCGCCCGGGCCCGGCGGGAGACGCTTTCGCGGAAGTCTTTTTTTAGTAAATAAAGTCCCTTTTTAGGAGAGGGGAGATTTTGAAACTCCCTTGCTTGCTAGCTTGTAAAATATAGGATATCTGTTATCAGCTTAGTTAATCCATATCCGTAATCCCTCTTATAACACAGTACTCTTATAACATGGATATTCCGCTATATAACGCGGGGATTTCCCCATATAACGAGGGGATTTCACAGGTTATATTTCTGTACTGTGAAATTTATAATGATTTGTAGCACGCGGACATATTTCATTCAATCGTTCATTACTAAGTTTCTTCTTAATATTCGATTTAAACCTCCTTTAACGAGAAAAGTTATCATTTGTACATAACACGTTATATGGGTTCCTACAAGAGCGTAATGCGGGAATACTCTTATAACGCGTTTCCTATATCGCAGAACCAATCTACCGTGCTATATGGGAAATTACTGTACTCAGGGTTAAAATTACGCCACCTTTACTAAAGTGAACTCAGTCTTTTTGGCCTAACAATTTACTGTGCGGTGATGCTCTCATCTCGTAAGATAAATGTAAGTCTAAGTACGCTTTATAATGTTCAGCCTAAGTTAATTGTCACAGTATTTACCACTTTGAATCTGGAGCGTAGAACACCAAGTTTTCCAAATCGAACGTGAAACGGTGAACAAGTAAAACTCCCATCAGGCTGCTCCACCACGATCACATCTATCGCTCCCGTCAACGTAGCGCTGTTTATCTCATTATAGAATTTCTTGAAAAATGTCCCGATGTAATTCATAGAATACATGATGCTTGCTTTGTTGCTTCCTTTTCGCTAATTCTCATGCACTTTACTTTTACAGCTTAGCCCATATTGATTTCTGAAACAAAGGAATATAACGTATAAAGTGTTTCGCATCTTTTTGAAATCCGAAAGGTTTCTAAAAATACAATTTAATACAAAAACAATAGAAAATCAACATCGGAAACAAGAAATTTCTAATAACTTAAACTGACGTGGCGGAACTAAGAAACCATTTCCTTTCTCATTCAATGCAATTACATATATTACTGAAAGTAACGTTTCATCTCAAATAAATGGTAGGATTTATGTTCGATTTACGAATCAGATACTATCTGTATAAAAATACAAAATTTAACTCAAACGTTTGAGATAATTTATAACGTTAACGGTTAACAGTTATTGATGCGGAGTCGATTTCTGACTCTCTTTGGATATCTTGCAAAAACGCAAATTTATACGTCAATCGTCATCGTCATTTAATTTGTTTGTGCGAAATAATAAAATCATTATAATTATTACGAAGGACGTAAGTACGATAAAATTTCGCAATGATTTGTAACTTAGTATAGCAAAGATTTATTGATTGTTGCAAAGGTCAACCTACGTCAATGGTGATTATGAACATGTAATGGCAATCTCATTAGCTGTTCTCGTGAAAAAATATAGCTAATACATATCGCCCCCACAGTGCATGACGCAAATTATACCAGACTTCGAACTACCAAGTGGTGACTTTATATGTATATTAGTTATTGGCATACCTACTATGTATATAAAAATATTTAATTTATAAATGATACACATTCCTTATATGTAATTCATAATCGACTTTAGTTACTTCTTTACGAATAAAACCATCTTCAGATTCAATATTCATCACAAAAAAATGAAGATTATGTAACTGGCACGTAGCTATAGATAAACATATTTACATTTCACATTTTCAAACGTCCGTTAATAATAATACGTCGCCCGCACCACCGCGCCGTGATGATTCTCTTGAAAATTTTAACGAAAAATTACATTTGCAAAAAACAAAAAATAACTGGTTTAATTCATTAATCACGTCCATTCATCTTATGTAATTAAATTTTAATATAGAATAAGACAATTATTACTTGTTTTATATAAAATTATTCAAATGTGGCATTCCAAATTTTAAGATAATGAATTAATTAAGCTACCACGTGTATTTACTCTCACATAATATACTTCTATTAATCATCGTGAAGCAAAGTTTTATTATAACACTTATATCATATAGCCGCTCAAGCAGACGTTGAATTCTGTCTAGACTCTAAACTCTAGAGTGATTATGTAGGATGTTTACAAAGGACAGCAAAATTTCCAGTTACAGTTTTTAAAAAATATATACTGAAGAAAATAAAGAATTAACTATTTTGGTACTATTTTCCAACACACAATCAAACGTAGGCCCTCTTGATAAAATAATTTCCTAATTTACTTCAGACAATATAATATGTACATACATTGTTAAATAAAATTAATTTATTTGACAGGAATCTTAACCTATCATTATTATAATTTCTTATCGGGCCTCTCGAGCCAATCCAAGGATAAATACTGATTAACGATATCAATACTCTTTAACGGTTTTATTCAATAATTGATGTAATAGATAACATTCAGTACCAATTGCGTAAGAGGCATAACTTTTTTTTTTTTTTTTGTTAAATAAACTGCTCTTAGTCTGTTACATACGAAGGCTAAGTTTAAGACTTTGACACTCATAACAAATAAATATACTTAGTAGAAAATTACATCATTTTATATTCATAATTACAATATTTAAAATCTTACATTAATAAAGGAGTCAGTATGTACTAGGATTTCATACTGGGTTTCGACAGAAAATTGTCAATAAAATAAGCCTTCCTAGTTCCAATTTAAAAATGCGTTAACACCCACATAACCAAACTGAAGAATATACAGACTCTATGCTTAGTTTTATTTAGAAAAAGTAAGCTTAAGTATACACTAATATACCTTAAAAAATCATGTTGAAATCCATCTTTCTTGGGTTTACAAGTTTTTCAAACACTTTCATGAGACACTTGCAACAATCGTCCTTTGTGTTACCTAGTTTGTTTTCGATAACAATATAACACAACGAGATCAAGGTAAAATAACAAGCGGAAACGAGGTATCCGCGTCGAATACTTTTACAAACTGATCATACACAAGTTCATGCTTGATTGTTGGAAGACTCGTAAACGTGTTGCGTTCGTGTTGTGTGACGTCCCAGCTGATACATCGTTACACGCACACAGCTATATGGATACAAATACAACACAATATTATTTTACACTACACATATAAAGGCTTGTTGAGGGAAACAGAGATAGTGTGTACACGCACTATAACCAACGGCGATCGCGTGTTATATGGCGTGATGTCGTACCACGATGAATGAAAGTAAACCAAAAATTTGTCAACTATTACGAAAATGCTTATTATAGGTATTAAGTTCTAGATACATATCTTACAGTTTGACCTTTAGGCAATTCGAAAACTTATATTTCTTTATTAATTTAAGGTTATATTTATCGGACATTGAATTTTGTATTATATCTAGAATAATGTACATGTATATTTTATTAGTATTATATTGGTCATGGAATCCATTAGAATAGCTGAATCAGTATGTACAATAAATATCTGATATTATAATCACCATATGCTATTAAGAGAAGCGCGTCGTCCAAACTGTAGGACCTATATTTTATAACAGCCTGTATATTAAAAATCATAATAAGTTTTCGTTAAAGGATAATTTTTTACATTTTTTGCGTGTTAAACAATGCGTGGAGGGGAGAAAAAGACAAAATACTGATGCTTGCGGTGCTTATTAAATTCAATTAATTTGGAGATAATTATCTAGTATTAATTTGTTACAGAACCCGCGAGAGGGCTGGCGTAGCCACTTCTCCAATAATAATTTCAATATTGATAGGCGGGTATATACTATTTTACAATTTATTATATTTAAAAAGCCATCGATTATATCTGCACACTACATCCTTTAATTCCTTTTCAATTTTAACCGTACAATTATAGAAATTCAATGTAACTTTTAAATAAAAAGCAGTTCTGAGCTTCAGCTTTACTTTTTAGGACAAAGTATATCCTAGAAACACCTGCACCAGCCCACTTTATCCTATTCGTCTAATAATGGGTGTGTCATGACGCAGTGTTTACTAGACGCTTATCAACGAGCCTCTTGCGTATTATTCAAATTTACAAGGCCAGAATTTTATGCGCAGCGTCGTTTACCATATAATATAGGTCTTATTACATTAGCAATAGCTGTCAAATTTGGAAATAGAATAGTTTCACCTTTAAAAGAAATATTTTCATTATCAGATTGATTATTGCAGAAATTATCTAATGCGCATTTTATTACACTTGGCACACTAGTGAATAACAAAAACATGTTTTGAATGATCTAGTGCTAGTCAGAGTAGTTTACATGTAACAAACACAACATATTCAATTTTGTTTCTATTGCGTTTAGAGTTATTGTTATAGAAAATACTGTAAATACTAGGGATGCATCCGATACCGATGCCGATACCGATAGATCGGCGATACTTTCTTTAGGTTTGCCGATATATCGGCATCGGCGATATTTTAATTGCCGATTCAACGATACTTTTCAAATTTCACGCCTTAAAAAAGTAATGTAAACGCGCATCATAGGGCCGATTTACATTATCTTAGTGTTTAGGAGAGTATTTTAGTACAAGTTGAAAGGCAAGTTCTTTAGTGCTTTAGTGCGTTGCGAGTGAACGTTTACATTTCTTCCAGTAGAGTATCATTATTCATTACATCGCCACAATGAACGCGCAACGACGTCGGCAAATACGCTCTATTCTACGCAAAATACTAACTGTAGTTATGGAACAAATAGAAGACGAGATTTTATTCGAAATAAATAAACTAAATATGAATAATAAATAAAATAGCTTCCTTTAAGGCAGTGTATGCCGAATGCCTAGCCTGTTTGTTTTTGTATAAATTGTTTTTAACGTTCCACAAACATTCGTGAACAATATATTCAGACACAAATTTGATAGTTGTATCTTCCGACCATTTAGCCATCTTTAAAAATCAAAAAACACGCACGCGTTTCACGGCACTTGTGCACTCTCCTAAAGATTGTACTAAATTACGTGTTTACACACAACGAGGGAAGATCTAAGGGGTTGCGCGGGCGCGGGAGGGGTATCACTTGAAACAAAAATAAAAAGCGATTCTATTTTGATTCAACTTGAAAGTCAAGTAGAACCGTACTAAAGCAAGTAGCGTTTACATGTTTCAACTAAAGTACTATCCTAAACACTAAGATAATGTAAATCGGCCTTTATATGATCTTGTTCATTGCAAACGAGGCACGGACTATCGATGTCCGAGGAATCCCCGCGTTTTATTCAGTTTGTTGTCTGTCTCTCTCATCCGCTTTGTCCCCGCGTATTCCATTTCTCTACACTATTTATTTATTTTTATTTATTAACACTTTTCTGCATTACGATATAAAGATTTAACATAATTAAATGAAAAGGAGGGCAACTGGGGGCCTTATCGCTTTCTACCGTTTTCTTCCAGGCAACCACTGTGAGAAAAAATGTATTAAATTAGATAAGGTAGACAAGAAGCGCAAAAATACATATTACATAGTTATAAACATGACAAAAATAAACAGGCACTAAAAACAAACTAAACTAAAACGCTACATTAAAAATAAAAAGTGCACATGAATCACATTTAAGATCAGTCTCACGTCAGTTAGTAGTTAGTACGAAAAACTCTTGTTGGATTGATTAGTAGACCAAAATTTTTACTCCAGTTAACTATCTTTGCCAGCTCATTGAGACTTGATTGAACGTAGATTTGAAGATAATTTAGTTGGCTTTTAACTGCTATCGCGAGTAGTATTTTTTCAATAACAAATTAAATAAAATACAGAATTACAAAAATATTATCGGTCTTAATTTTAATAACTAAACTTGATATATTTTACCTTAATTTAATTTAAATTCAAAAAGCGTTGGTATCGGTATCGACGATATTTCTATAAGAGTATCGGCATCGTATCGGCAAAAAAGCGCATCAATGCATCCCTAGTAAATACCTACCAACTATTGTATAAAAAGTACATACTTTGTTTTCTATATAGCCCATAAAACACATTTTTATAAAATACCAAAAACTATGTTAGGAATTAATTAAAATATCCATCTGTTTTTGGTTTAAGGGATACACAACATGGTGGCACTTGTTATCCTTTATTATGTTTTGTTTAGTGTCAGGTTTAGGTTCTGAGTAGTTGTATATAGAAATGTTTTTAAAGCATACAATTTCCAGGTTATAAATCAAAGCATGGCCTAACAAGAGATCACTTCCAGGCACCCCAAGTAAGGAAAAACTTCTTACTTATCATTATTGTTACTCTTTGCCATTCTTTTTAATATTTTTTATGTTATGGCTCCATCTCACAAACAGAAATTTAAACATGCAGAATATTGCTAACTGAAATAGTGGACAAAAGCTATTCTGCTAACGATCTAAAGAATAACACAACCTACACCACAGTTTCAGCTGTGTGATTGATATTTATGGGGTATAATAGACTTAAATTCAGTTCCTTGTGAAACAATATTACTTTTTCAGTCTAGTAATCACATTTTTGCCTTAAAAACATGCACATAAAATCCTCTGCATATTTATATATTATTAGTTATAATATATAATAAACCATGTGGGCCATGCCACTTTAGGCTGCCATAATACCAACACCCATATTTGTGACAGTAACTGATCATTTTCTCAAAAAGGTAGGTAATAAGATCCTGTTGTATTTATAAAATAATTATTTTTTACTAAATCCGTTCTATACAAATCAATGAACCGAGAATAAATGAATTTTTTTAAAGTGTGTAAGATGGATGCTTGCTTTAAAGTTGATTAATGAAATTAAAAATAAATTTGATTACAAATTGTTTACTTAATATGCTCAATATTGGTTTGAATATAATATTTAAAGGCCAATACTTAGTATCAGGCTAAACAGTTATTAGTAATATATTATTAAGTAACATAGAGTCTAATAATTACAACATTATAGATAAGCTGAAATGTAAATGCTTGAAAAATTAATAATTTCCTTTGTTGTAAGCAAACATCTAAACACAATGGTATATTTCCATTACTTACATGATAAAATGCTGATAGATCAGTTTATTATAGACTTCACTGACAAGTTATCGATTTTTAATTTATTGTTGAATTTATAAAAGGAAAAATAATTTCTTTAAATAAATTATCAATTCAATTTAAAATGAACACTGAAAAGTGAAAACTGGATTGTTACTTGTTAGCAGTTAGCACATCACAGATCACAGAAATCTAATATACTATAGTGTACCTCTACAGATGTGGCACTGTAATCTGTATATTGTTCAATCTCAACGGTATATTACTCTGTGTCTACTGTCTGTAACCAACCACCAACTTTGCGTATCGTAAATCGTAATATTAATGAATTAATAAAAATAATTTTTAGATGAAATTTATTATCACAGAATCAGAAGACCTGGCTGTAAGGATTAAAGTCCTTTGCCTTTCCCATTAGGGATAAATTAATATCATCATCATTATCAAATGTCACAGAATCATCTGTCGGAGTATGTAAATTTTACTGTTAAAGTTTAAACTGTTAAATTTACATAGAAACCACAATATTATCTTTCTTTCTTTCGGTCTTGTGATTCTGATATTTTTCAGATTATAGGTCATAGTACAAAAAAATGGGATTCAATTTTGGAAACTAAACTCATTAGCATTTCAACTGGATCGTTTTAATAAAGCTTATAGTAGGCCCCCTGATCCAAGTTCAAAACCATACTCACAATTTTTAAGTTGTTTGGCGCAACGCAACAATTCAGGTGTTTTGGCCAAAATTAAAAAATGGAACAGAATGTAACTACCGCCCCCTGTCACCACTCCATGTAGCTGATCAAAGTTTGTTCTGCACAAACGACAGCAGATAGAGCTGCTATCGTTTGTGCAGGCCGTTGACTTTTTCGTGGTATGAAATTTGAAGAGGGGTCTACAAATAGTGACTAGCCAACTAAGACGGTCATCTTGTTTTTTTGGAGTAAATCTTCCACCCCATCAAATTGCCACCAGTTCTCTATGCAACACCGCCTACCCGATCTTGCTAGGATTTACCGTTTAGGCGGGTCAAAGCTTATTAATCAATGGTGTTTAACGTTAACGTTAAAAGACAGTCACATAAAAAAAAAACAACCCTTTCCTCCTTCAGAAATGTGTGGATACCCATATTATATAAATTACTTAACTGATTTAAATGAAATTTACATGATTAAAATTAAACGGAAGGATCGTATCAATGACTTCTAGTTCTGTACAGAAATTTGTAGATAAACAGTTACGAATTTTATTTATTTTTAACTCCTGTACTTGAAGGCCTTTATTGTAAATTGATCATCACTCAAATATACAATTCCAACATATCACATACATAGAGGTCTACCTAATAACTAAGGAAATAAAGTGGAAAACAACCGCGTCTAATTGTGTGCAAATAGATAATTATTGAAACATTAGCATTTTGATCAAAGGTTTGAATTGTATGTATATATATGATTATAGATTGTACATAATATACATTTCTATTACTCTTATTTTGTGTTTATTATGGATAAAAATAATCATTATAAATTGTCCGTTTTTATTGAGAATTGTGTACTTTTATACTGTATTTACCATTATTTAAATAAAAAAACCCAATTCAACCCCTAGTATTTTTTAAGTTTGATCTAATAACAATAAAAGAAATTAGTAATAGTTTAATTATATAATAAAATCAGCTTAATATTAACTCCCGCATAATATACATTGGCCCTTAAGATGTGCTTTTAATTCTCTATATGTTAGATAGGTAGAATTAATATAAAATTAAAATACAAGATTAAAATATATGATTTTCTTTGCTATAAATTTTTTACAATAATAAGTATTACAAGCATATTAGTTTATATCTAAAATATTCAGATGTACATTTAAAGTAAAATAAAATTTAACTATATAGATACTTGATGATTATGTATTTTGTGCTATGGTAACTGATCAGATGTACTCTCTACTGAATCTCCTGCACCGTTTGGAAGATTGTTTTCAATTTGAGACATTGTAATATTTTGTGTTTTATTGCGTAGTTCAAATACTTGAGTTATTGCATCACGGAAGCACAAAAAGTTGTAATCAATCACACCTGAAACAAAATTGATTGGTTTAGCATAAAGTAATAGTTGCTTCCCACTGTATACTTACGATTTTTTAATCTATGGAATGGATTCCATACAGTTTTCACAAATAGACCATGAATTAAGAGGAAAGTTTTTTTGTACAATTTACAGAAATAGATAAAGCTATATATAGTTTATAATTCTGTATCTATCTACATGTATGATAACATTTCTAATGAACTCAATTCTCATGCTGGAAAGCAAATAAATAATCAATACCAATTTAAAAGTTAATTACCAATTATCTTTTAAATTCTATGGTCTTATACTATTCAAACTATGACATGTTCATTAAACACAATTAGTTTTTATCCCAACATTTGCCAATTTCGTAAATAATACATTTTACAAAATTATTGTTACCTTGCTTTTGGAAATTTTCTTCTCTAAGTATGCAAACTAGAGCTAAAAACTTGTTGACCTCTCTTAAATATAAAACTGTACCATTATTAAGCTTTATTAGGCTTGAACTCTGATTGTTGAATGTATTTGTTTCTGTTTCTTCCACCATACTGTAAAAAATAATGTTAATAATATATTTATGAAAAACTGTACTAATAGTAAGTATACTTTATATATAGAATATTGAAATTATTGAATTAGAATTTTATGAACCTGTTGCATCAGGAAGGTTTTAAAAGCCAGTGTTGAAAAGTTTACTGGTAAACTTTTATAGCAACTATACATATTACAATATAATAATTTTCTACAAGTCGAAGTATTACACATACCCATAAATACAAGATATGTCAATAACAACATCAATCATGTCACAACAAAGTTCATAGCTTTGCATATCCACTGGTGAACTGTCAGTTGCAATGTAAATTTTGGATACAACATCAAACAAGAATGCCTTTTCTATACCAGAATTCTGAAAATATAAAATTTTTTGGAGCTTGAAAGACTTGTCCACACAATCTCCTTTAAAGCTAATTTAAATTTATCTATGGCTAACAAGGGTAACAATTTGTGTAGTCTCAGGATTAAAAGTTACAGTTACTAACTACTGAGTAGATACAAAGTCTCAATACACCTCATATATTTGAGCCTAACAATGACTCCCATATGTTAACAATGTATTCTGATATGCGAGAGTCATAGTTCACAACATAACAAAGGCTGATTCTCACGCTAAGCACTCAGTACCATTTAGGCACAGAGCCCCTAATACCTTTTAATAATAAATTCACATTTAACATTGTAAATAAATACATTTATCACATTTTATATTATATTATTATATAATTAAAAACTTTATTTATTATATATAATCAATCAGTGCTCAGTTATATAACAAATACTTACTGATATGAGTATATTAAGTAGATTTTCCAATGTTGGTAATTGTGGAATTAACTTTTGTACAACTTTACTAAATGCTTCAAATATTGAATGATCATAGATTGAAGTTAAGTGAAATGATAAGTGAACATGCTCCAGTCCATTTTCTGCTAAATCCTCAGTGGCTCTGTGATGTATATCCCTTTGTGTCTCCATTTTGTAATCGTCATTCAGTCCATCAACCTACAATGGAATTTTAAAATAGAAGATTAAAATATAATGATTGCTGGTAGTTTTTATTTTAATATTCATTATAATGATTCATGATATTTATTATTATCTAATTGATTTTTTCAATATTATAATTGACTGATATATATATTCTGTCTGTAACAACTTATATGTTAATAATATATATCAATTATATAACAATGTTACTACAAAACTTGGCTTCAGGACTTTGCCTCAATCTGTTTGTTAAAACATAAGTACAGACATGCCAGTTGCAACACAATATTTTCCTTCACGATACAAGTAAACATTATTTGCATACATAGAAGGAAATATCTATATGACATCAAGGTTGATTTTAGCCATCACCACTAAAATATATATATATATATACCACATTTGTTGTGGCAACAACTGTCAATCCTTTACAACAGGAATACTAATCCTTAACACATACTCACCTTATGAATAAATACTTCAAATTTTATACTACTATTCACTCTGTATGCTTTGGTAACTGTTTGTTGCAACTTATCTAAGGCATCTTGATAATCATCCTGAAATTAAATAATGTTAGTTTTGTATATTATGCCTTCAAAAGTTACCAAAACTAAATGGTTTTAAATTTTTTAAGAATGCAATGGTAAAAATAGTAATTTCAAATACCTGGGCATCAATAACAAAAACCAGTGCACCACATCCACCAAATATTGTATCAGAATCAAATTTTGCATCGAAAAAATCTATCTGACCTGGAAAATCCCATATTTGAAATTGGACAAAACTACTATTGTTTATATCGTCTTTTACGATTTTGTTAGTTGATTCCAGAAACAATGTTTCATTGGGTGACATCTTATGAAATACAACTTTTTGAATAGAAGATTTTCCCGACCTGAAATGTGTTTAAAATTATATGAAATTAAAAAGCTTCTAACGTGATAATAAATTATTATTCTGGTTTGAAATTAGCACCTCCTTAAACCCATCAAAAGGATTCTAGGTTTGTGATCCTCCTGTAACGACGTATTATCACTTTCACCATTTTGTTCGAATGGCCCATAGCTGAAATCTTTAGGAAATGAGCCGACATATTCATCTTGGTAACTCTGTAATACAAATGATAATTACATTTATTGCCTCAAAAGAAAGAACACTGAAAGTTACTTTTGTAACATACCATTTTGGTGTCCATCCAATCATTACATTTCAAAGAAATTGCAAGTATTACCAATAGTAAGATTTTAGACACGTTTTTGCCTAGTAATTAAAAAACTTAAATGTTCTAACTTTAATTAAATTAATTAGTTTCAAATAAGAAAATTATGATTCAATAAAGAAACAACTATATGAATAATGTAGGATAGTTATTAGTCTAATCTAAACTCTAAAGTTAGTTGTTAGTTGTCAACTGTCAGTTTTAAATTGTCAAATGTGGCAAGAAATTCCAGAACAAGTTATAAGAACTAAATACAGCATGAGAAGCAGGAGCCAGGAACCACGCGCTTGGGCCGCCGCGCCGGCACCAGCGCTATGACCATCATTTTTCATTTCAGTACAAATGACCCACTATTTTGTGTCACTATCTCCCGGCCTATTACTTAACAGAGCCACTAAACAATAATTTGACACTACTTGCACGAAAGGCCGATTTACATTATCTTAGTGTTTAGGAGAGTGCTTTAGTACAACTTGAAAGGCAAGTTCTTTAGTGCTTTAGTGCGTTGCGAGTGAACGTTTACATTTCTTCCAGTAGAGTATCATTACAGCGCCACAATGAACGCGCAACGACGTCGGCAAATACGCTCTATTCTACGCAAAATACTAACTGTAGTTATGGAACAAATAGAAGACGAGATTTTATTCGAAATAAATAAACTAAATATAAATAATAAACAAAATAGCTTCTTTTAAGGCAGTGTATGCCGAATGCCTAGCCGGTTTGTTTTTGTATAAATTGTTTTTAACGTTCCACAAACATTCGTGAACAACATATTCAGACACAAATTTGATAGTTGTATCTTCCGACCATTTAGCCATCTTTAAAAATCAAAAAACACGCACGCGTTTCACGGCACTTATGCACTCTCCTAAAGATTTGACTAAATTACGTGTTTACACACAACGAGGGAAGATCTCGGGGGGTGCGCGGGCGCGAGAGGGGTATCACTTGAAACAAAAGTAAAAAGCGATTCTATTTTGATTCAACTTGAAAGTCAAGTAGAACCGTACTAAAGCAAGTAGCGTTTACTAAAGCAAGTAGCGTTTACTAAAGCAAGTAGCGTTTACCTACATCTTAAAGCATACTTTCTTGGTGTTTAGGAGAGTGCTTTAGGATAGTACTTTAGTTGAAACATGTAAACGATAATTGCTTTAATACGGTTCTACTTGACTTTCAAGTTGAATCAAAATAGAATCGCTTTTTATTTTTGTTTCAAGTGATTCCCTCCCCCCCCCACCCCCGAGATCTTCCCTCGTTGTGTGTAAACACGTAATTTAGTACAATCTTTAGGAGAGTGCACAAGTGCCGTGAAGCGCTTGAGTGTTTTTTGATTTTTAAAGATGGCTAAATGGTCGGAAGTTACAACTATCAAATTTGTGTCTGAATATATTGTTCACGAATGTTTGTGGAACGTTAAAAACAATTTATACAAAAACAAACAGGCTAGGCATTCGGCATACACTGCCTTAAAATAAGCTATTTTATTTATTATTCATATTTAGTTTATTTATTTCGAATAAAATCTCGTCTTCTATTTGTTCCATAACTACAGTTAGTATTTTGCGTAGAATAGAGCGTATTTGCCGACGTCGTTGCGCGTTTATTGTGGCGCTGTAATGATAGTCAGGCCGCACACCAGGCATACATTTGTAACTCGATAATTGTAGCGCCACATTTGAAACGCGACACATTTAACGCCCCCATACATTTGTACGTGAGCACGCACACCGAGGAAACATTTGTGGCGGGCGCACTTTGTAGCGAGACAGTTTCCGCGCCACACAAATTCAAGATCGAACACGTTCGTTTTTTGTGTCGCGTTGGTTTGCAAAAATTAAGGACAACATTGAATTTTACGTTGAGTTTATTGCAGAGGTTGAAAAAAACCCTGTTTTATACAATCACACGCTCAATGATTATAGTAACAGACGGATTACAGAAATAATTTGGACTAAGATTGGCGAAAAATTCCCGTACTTTGTGCAATCTTGATTAAACGGATGAACCCAATAACGTCTTTTTTTTCTCATTAATCGCCACATCAAGAAATCTATGTCATAAGACGATGATGTCGACCTTCTCAAAGCGGTGCCACGCTACAACTGTGCTACCGATGTGCGCATTTTCAATACATTTGTAGCGCATACAATTGTAGCGCAACGACTTCGCAACGATTGTGGCGACGTAAAATAACAAATGTATGCCTGGTGTGCGGCCTGACTTACTCTACTGGAAGAAATGTAAACGTTCACTCGCAACGCACTAAAGCACTAAAGAACTTGCCTTTCAACTTGTACTAAAATACTCTCCTAAACACTAAGATAATGTAAATCGGTCTTGATCAATGTCAATTACTAATCACTTGCACTCGCACCAAAGTGAATACAGACCTTTACGCTACCGATCACGATTACGGTATCAATATTACATTATTAAACGTTTGTACATTTTATTGAAATAAGTTATATATAAACAAATAACTTATATTGAGTAATATAGTAACTCATTATTCTGAACTCTTAAGTTTAGACCTATGTTACTTTTATGTTTAGGTATGAAAATAAATATTTTTGAACTAAAAGCTTCAAAATAAAATATATATATTAAACTAAACGTGTATCATAATAAATATTACAAGTAGATGGCTTTCTATATTTACAACGACATTCTGTAGTATTAATTGAAGGATTTGAAGGTATAGCTGTCGTGCGAAATGGGTGCCGCAAGGGTTTCGAAGCAGCAGCTGTTAGTTTATCGGCGCTTGTGTTAGACTGAGTGGGTCGCAATCGTCGCTCACGTTCTATCCGAGCCCGCTCTACTCGTTGAGCATGGGCAACACTGTGTTGTAGGCCCGCTAAACTATCAGTTTTGGCGGGAAAGCGTTCTAGACTGTTAGATACTTCTCCAACTTCTGCTGTATCAGTATCAACTATTTCCTTATGATCCAGGATCATTCCTATATTTAATTTCAAATTCGTTGAACCATCTCGAAAAATTAAATATACTGTAGCTTGATCGAGAACTTTCAAAGAAAAGTTCTCGTTAATTTTAAGTGCCTTCATTTTGATTTGAAAAGGCTTAAATTTTTGTGTTAATTTCTTACTCTTCTCTTTTATAAAGTTGTCAAATTCGATGGCGAGCATTTCTTCATTATCTTGTCTTGGCTTTTCATCCCCATGGCCTCCCAGTTTTAGTATCTCTGGATCTTTATGCGCCATCTGAGTGTCAATCATAACTTGTTGAAGTACAGGCGGGTCATTTAATGTATGCCATTTCCAATGTGATACAGGCCCAATACTTTTATCTAAAATAACTCCTTCCGTTTGGTTATATTTGAGCCTGAAATTTTTTTGAATAGTGTTTGATAAGATTTTTTAATTAATATGTTAAGTACTTAACTTAACTTGTCTACTAAAATCTCTTTTTTCAAAAATACTATAGGCATTTTATATATAGGTCTATTGTGCAAGTGTGTTACGGACGAGTGCCAACCTGCTAAAGGCGTAGAAACCTCTGTATGCCAGAGTTGGGTCTTTGTAGCTGGTCCTATGCTGAAGTATTATAAAAAGATGAACAATTTTTTTGGGATCTATACTTAACCTTATTTTCCCGCTGTGATCAAACACCACACCGTTACCTAAATAGTCAAATGTAGCTAGTATTGTGAAAGGACGAGGACGGCCACGCTCGTCTGGCTCACCGTTGCTGTAGATTACAAATCGTTGTTGAGCGTTTGTTTCTGTAATAATAGCACAAAGTAAAAATATTTTACTGCAGCAAAGTATTGCTTTTTTTATTCCAATGAAGGATAAAAAAGATGCTCTTAAACAATAAAACCGAGTTAATTTTTAACATAAAGAATTTTTAAACCAAGTTTTTCACAATTTATTCACCTGACCCAGTAAATATTAGCACGTCGAACTAATTAAAAATGTTATCTACTGGTTTTAGATTTTTTGTAATGCTTGTTTTATGTCAATCATACCTTCTGCATCGTAATAATCGAGAGCTAATCTGCCATTCCGATAAAACCATCTACCTTTTCCATCATCATCAAACTCAGCTAGTTTTTCACCTGTATCGTAATGCATTAATTTTTTATTTTTGTTATGTTCAAACCAATCGAACTCAGGATGTGCTGGTCTCATACGATATACGTTCATCTGTAAAAACACGATATGTAGTATATTATAAATACAATTACTGCTATATTAAAATGATTCTATTCAGTTAATCGCCAACCAGGTATTAATGAACTTGGTATTATACCTTAAAAAGGATCTTAAACCTCATATGTATCATTACGAGTAAGCGAAAAAATTGTATATGGTAAAAAAACAATAAAAAGTTAAGTATATGATATTACTTTTCGGACCACTTTCTCAGTGGGTAACATCGTCCAACCTTTGTCGATAAAGGAGCGGTCCGACAGAGCGTATCTTATTACACCTTTGGCAGCCTCCGGGTCAATCTATGTCATCAATGAAAGTTTATTTTTTAATTATTATATAGGTACTAATTCGATACATATAGTTTATTATAATTTGTATATGCGATAGTGTCAGTGCCGATTTAAAATTATTTGTCATTTTTCAATCTCTCTTTGCTCCAATGCAACGCTCAGACATAACACGAAAAAATGCAGCCTTAAATATTTAAAGGGCCTCTTGAATATCGTGGCGGAGCTACGGCATCGCAATCTGCCGGTTTGCGGCGGCAACTCACGGTGGTTTCTTTCATATGATTTGCATATAAGTCACTGCACGTTTTCGATTACTGTTTTGTTTAACGCAATGAGAAAAAAAAAGAGATAATATATGTGCCAAACAATTATCAAGTGCGAATTTCAGAATGTTTATACAGAATTCTTTTGTGGAGTTTATGTAGTCTGCATATTATTTTACTGGGCTTTTTTAGATAAATTTTAATACCTGGGGTCTTTTCTGAAGTTATTTTATTTCTTTTTGGAAGGGTTATATTACTTTTAATGCTGAAAACAGCGAGTTTACTGTATATAAGTGTGCGGCTAGGCTAGTACGCTACGCTTTCCCTAAATGTTTGGCGTGGAGCCGCCGCCGCCGCGTCTCTTGACGTATTTATTCGTAGGATTATCGTATTACTAATAACTCCAATTGAAAATTATAGGGCATAAACTATTTCAAAGTTGTTCAGGATTCAGGTCGTGTAAATTCATGACACAGCAAGTAGGGAACGAATAATTTCCCATTTTCGTCTCAGAAACGAATAAAGCCAATTGCCGATTCCGAGATTGGGAATTTTTACACCCCACATCACAACATTACCTCGAACCTACCCATTTTTTGTTTGTTTAGAGAGCACTTATTAATATTTTTTACTTAAATAATAACGTAAACCGTACAGCTAATCGCATGCGAACGTTTGCCTGTTGCCAGAATCTGCCACACAACAACAACACAACCGCGCCACTAGATTTCTCCAAAAGGCGTATAGAAAAGATAAAATCAGCGCTAATCTAATGTTTTGGAAGTTCGAAGCTTTCTTAGCTTACAAAGTAGATTTAATAACATTTAAGGTATCGCTACTATATGTATCATAAAATCTTGTCTTTCACACCTTTGTGTTTGTATCACCTTTCTTGCTTTTAGACATCCCTTCCAAATTATTTATTAAATTTACGTAAAGAAAAATATTAAATATAAAATAAATTAATCCAAATCGTTAAACAGTTTAAAAATGAGGTCTATCAAAATTAAAACAATAGTTTGAAGTTGACAGAAATAGACAATTTAAAAACTTAAATACATAGTGAACACATACTTTTAAAATAGGTATTACAAGTAAATTATTTTATTTTACAATTTAAAAGTAATGTAGGTACAGTTTTATTTATTTATTTAGGTATCCAACAGAAAAAATGCCATGAACAGCCAACCCTAGTAAAATATAAATATTGATGTGTCTGTGATCACGTATATGTATTTTGCTTGTATGAGAGAGTATGTGTGACTATTTACTTAATATTTTATTTTGTACATCATGAACGGATGGCGTAGTCTTGCTCTTTCGTGAATTTTGTAAACGTTGTTGACATTCATAAGCATGCTCTAAGAAGCATCTAAATTGAATAAACGTATTTTGATTTTGATTTTTTGATTTTGATTCCTGAGACCTTTGTTTTATTAAAAACGTCATTCCGAAAATGCATCATTTTATTGGTAACACATTCTATAGGATAGCATTTTGTGGGTTTTGTCTTTATATATTATATAATATAATAACCAAATATATAATCAACAAGTAAAACTGTACCTGAACTCGTTTATACAAACAACATTGATGCTCTCTGCTCCTATCAGTTGTATCGTGTTGTCCAGCCTATATAGGGCTTATCAAGTTTTATGTAAAATTGTCTCAGTAGTTTAAGTGTGAATGCGTTCACATTTATAATATTAATACATAGGGCGTAATATAGAGGAACTTTACGATACGACTTTTGTAATTTGTTACAAAAAAATACATACCCGATGACAAACAAAACATACTTAATTTTATAATTTTAATTTCCTTTTAAAATAATTTAATATTGTTGTTTTCAATAACAGTGTATTAGATAGTAGATGAGTAGCTTTAGCGTATAATTGATGATAAAGTTCTATTTGTGATCGTCTTAAAATTTAAGTACTGTTTCAGTGTAATTGTTGTATTTTCTTAGCACCAATTTACTTTTTGTACTTTTTCTGTTTTTTCTTCTTTTTAATATTTATGTACTGTTTCTTTAACGTCGTGGCTTTCATCGGCGCCATATCATCGCTATTTGGTGATGATGAAGCCATAACTGAGCGCATCTCCCTCTCCAAGGGTCAAGGGACAGCTAAACTCTAATGTATATGCTTTTATTTGTGTGAGTACACTTATGGACTAAATAGTTTGTTTGTAGATAATATATACTATAATAAAATATAAAAAAAATACATACTCGCTTGGACACAGGTGAAGGTTTACTTTTCACTAAGGTACTTATATCCGAGGTCTTCAGAGAGTCTTCTTCAATAAAAGTAGATTGAAACATTAAAGGCTCAAATGCGGTAATATTTTTGGTCTCTTTTTTATTAATCCTAGGAGACTCTTTGAGTTTAATAATTTTTCGACCCATTACCAGATCTGTCGGTTCACTTAATTTTTGTTCACCGAATAAAATATTATCGACATCAAGTTCTAAATCAGAATCACAGCAAAGAATGCACGAGTCGTGGATATTGTTATGGTCTTTATGTGCCCGACGTATGATAGGTGATACATTTATTTCTGATAAACGTTGTGGTCTCCCCCGAGGTTCCTTTTTTTCAGACTGTTTTAATTTAACAAGTTGCAATATTAAATTGTCCTGTGAATGTTTTCTCAATTTCACTTGGCTAATATTCAATTCCTTAAAGGTTGTCACCTCCTCTTTTTTTGGCTTAGTCACACCTCTTCTTTCATCAGGTTCAGGTTTTGATTGAGAATCATCTATAGCCATTTTTGAATATGCCTCTTCTTTTAATTTTTTTTCAGAGTTTTCTTGCATTCGTTTATCACTATTACCTTTTTCTGTATGTTTTTGTTCTATAACCTTTTCACCTTTCGCGTGCTTTTCTTTTAGGTCAATACGTTTTACTTCATGGTCAGACGGCTTATGACTTTTTTCTTTCTGTATTCGCTCTTTCTCTTTTAGGGATTGTTCAGCTTTTTCTTTTTTAAGTCTTTCTCTTTCTTCTTTTTCATTTTTCAGTTTTTCTTCTCTTTCAGCGCGTTCTTGCATCTTTTTTTCTTTTTCTATTTTTAAAAGTTTTTCTTTTTCTTCTTTTTCATTTTTCAGTTTCTCTTCCTTTTCAGCGCGTTCTTGCATCTTTTTTGCTTTTTCTATTTTTAAAAGTTTTTCTTTTTCTTCTTTTGCTTTTATTTTTTGCTCCTTATTTGAAAGTAATGCTTCTTTTTCTAAATCTTCTTTTGCAGATTTGTCTCTACTTTTTTTAAATTCATTTCTCAAAGGTTTGTCTTTTTTCAAATCTTCCTTGGGAGATTTTTCCGTATCTTTTTTAGATTTATCTTTAAGAGGGCGCTCCACTTGATTTTCTTTAAGAACTTCTTTATCTAATTTGTCGCGTTCTTTTTTAAATTCTAACTCCGGAGATTTTGTAATATCATTAACAGCTTTGTGTAACTTTGATTTGACCGATTTTGTATCTTTTGATGATTTTATGCTAGCTTTTTCTATTTTATCTGTGTCATTGGTGCTAAAAGCTACTTCTTTCTTTTCTTCTATATCAGTCTGATTTTCTGGTTCAGCCTTTTGCTTATACTTTTCCATACGTGCTAATTTATTTTTTTCCTCTTCTTGAAGTTTTTTCATACGTTTTTCGTCCCTTTTTTTTCTTTCCAACTCCGCACGCTCACTTAACATATCTATTGTATCTTTAATTATTTCAGAAGAGCTTTTATGCCGTCTAATAGGGTGCTTATCCTGTTCTTCTTTAGGAAAAAAGTAACTGAAATTGTGTTCTAATGTTTTTTCTGTGAAACCTGATATTGAAGTTACCAGAGATTCTAAAGAGTTAAACCGCTTCAAAGATGTTACAGAAAACTTTTGTCTATCGTATTCTATTTGTGTTTCAAAAGGCAATTCTCGAACATCTTCGCGTGTATAATTAACATTACGTCTTATAGCTGTGGAGACTCTTTTATATTTCTCGCCATATTTTTTTTTCTTTTCTTTACTGTCTTCAAGAATAACCTTTTTTAATACGTGTAACTTTTCTTGTAACATTAACGGATGCTTTAAATGACTATCAGTAGATGAAATAGTAACATCATCATGAAAAGTATCAATTGACGCAATATCATCTAAACCTTGCTCAAATTTTATTTTGTTGTATGTTTCTTCGTGCCCCTCAATATCATATCTTACAACTTGTGGTTTATTCACGACATCTGAACTTTCGTTAATTTGCGTGTGGCCCCTTGAAAAACTAAACATTTGGTCCAACACCGGTTCATAAAATTTGTAAGATCTATATCGAGATTCACTGCATAGCAATCCCTTTTTTACTGCTTGTTTTGATAACTTTGCAGTTTTGTAAAGTATTAAATTACTCTCCAATAAATCTATTATTCTTGAAAGCCATAGTTTCACCTTGCTTTTGTTATATTTAAATGGTGAATATTCCCTACCTATAGCTTTCCTATCTTTGGCACGTGTGCTACTTGGCTTACGAAATAGATATTCATTTAAGCAGTGATCGCACACATTCCTGCATTCTCTTTTGTCAAGTGTTAATCTCTTGCGACGGTAACATCGAAGATAATTTTTACATCGCGGACATTTAACATACTTTTCTGAAATAAAAACAAACTATTTATAGTATTCACTAATATTTTATAAATCGAATTAGGGAGAAAGAAATCGCAGACCACCTTGCATAAGCGATTTAATGCACACACGTCCCTTTGTACAGTTTGACAAAATGAACAATGGACCTATCTATAATCTAGTCTACATTTCCTATGAAATTTTTAACAAGCGAGGCGTGGAGTCAAAATTTTTATTCAGCGTTTGGCCTTGAACAAAACTCTTTAATTGCTACCAAAATTCCATAACTTTTCTTCCTGACATTAGACTCCCAAAGCTTGTATGTCGCTCTGATTAAGACTGACCTATTTCTGAATTTCGTTAAGTACTTTTAAAGATAAGCGTATATGTAGGTAGTCAAAAAAAATAGTATCATTACTCTTTTCTTAAACCCAAAAACGTTAGCTTGAAAGCTTTACTGATTTTTTCAAAATTGTCAATATAACGTACCCATTTTGCGAAGTAAGTCATCATTTTGATCCAATAATATATTGTCGTTTGTCTTATATTCGTGACGAGGCATGATGCTGCAAATCACGTATTATAAATAAAACGCTAATCCAGAACAGGCTTCAAATACTAGCTGTTATCTTGAATACAAATCTAACTTTTTACAAGATCTGGTTTTTTTCTAACTTTAAAATCTTTCTAACTTTAAAAATCTAACTTTTTCAAATCTAACTTTTTGCAAGATCTGGTAGCTTAACAGGTATTCACAAGTGTTCCACAAATTCGTTTTATTGACTAGTCGCCCTAACAGTACCTACTTACATTATTACTTTCCTGCTTCAAGACGGTTAAGAAATTTTTAATTGCAAAACTCGATTAAAGAATAGCTTCTCTCATAAATGAACTTATTTCTTTAACTAAATACACGTTAAGACGCTACATTTGGACGATGGGTAGGATAATAATCTCAAATGTCTACTTACGCACATATAGTCGATATCTTATGTGCGAAATTTTAATATAGGTACTTCTGAAATAATGCGCTTTAATTATTAAATATGAAATATCATAAAAAATTATGTAAACAATGAATGCATACAAAAATAATTTTATGTCATTGTCAAGTGCACTTTACTTTTTTTTAATAGGTATTTAAAAATATAATACGAACCCTTTAGCTCTATATTTAACACAATTAAAATACTGTTTAAACATTGGGATTCATTTTGATAAAAGCTTATTTAAAAATTCTTCAGCACTTAATGCAAGATTTACCCTATTATCAAGAAATGTGATGTTATTCACACACAATTTACGAGAAAACAAAGTAAATTTCTATTAGTTCTGAGACATCTTTTGTAGTCGTGATCTGCCGTACGCCTGGATAGTCTTCCTAGTCTGTGTTTCTGGAGTAAATAATTAATTAAGTATTATAAGGAGACAGCCCATCATGGATAAAACCACAGAATAACTTTAATAACTTGAAAGTTGAACTTGGTGTGGAGAGATGTCGGTCAATTACTTGTACACCTAATGCTTATTACTAAGGTATTATACCTAATCTAAGAATAATAAACTTAGATTTCGCAACAAAAAAATATATACAAAGTCTGTTTTAAATAGTTTTATTTAAAGTATTAAAGTTGTGACTAATCTTTCTTTTTCTTAAATAAATTAATTATTCTTTGGCGCAATGAAATCGGTGTTCCAGATGGTTTTAACACTAATTCTTTAGTACATATATTGTGAAGAGGTCCAAAAGCTAATGCTACAACAGTGCATGCAAGACATATTACATTGTATGGCATACTGAAATCAGGTGTAGGCAAAGACACCATAGCACCATTTGTTCTGAAGACTGCAGGATACCCTAAAACAGAAATAAATTAAATTTAAACAATTTATATATGACCTGATCTAAAATTATCCCATAGGACTAAGGTAAAGCCATATTTTTTACGGGAAATGACGCAAGTTCCCTTCCTTTGAAGGCCCTTGAACTTGTAATGGTTCACTATTATCTGGAATGGCAGTTGGTTATATAAAGTGGTGGTGGCTGCTGCAGCAAGAAGTGTCTTAAAAAACGCTGACGTGAAGCGCCAGACATCACGGTGGAAATTTGCATTCTGTGTTGTAGTCCAATAATGAAATTTAGTCATAGGTATTAATGCAAAAATTTCCTCCCCAACACCTATGCGATAGAAGTAGCAGAGAAATCATAAATGGCTACACACCGCCAAAGGATTTAACCGGTCAGAAAGAACATGGTCGTCGACGATTCGAGAAACATTGCGTTGGGTGCGGTCAAAAGGAAGAAGCTGTTAATGGGGAGGGGTCAGAGGTGAAAACAGTACTCCATGTGGCGTTGGATTTGCGCTTTATAGAGTTGTAGCGATTGTCCGTACTAAAGTACTGTCTCGCCCTACTGAGCTTACCAAGGTCCTTAGATGGGAGTGTCTACAATTTATAAAAACCTTCATATGGTACTTACATGGTTTTGAAGCATTAATTACTGACTCCAATGTAGTGCCATCAACTGGTATACTGGTATAATTCTTGGCTGTTGGTAGTTTTGCAGAAATTAAAGCAGAGCCAATATAAAAGCCATGATTTGCATCTGGAGGATATTCCTGCCATTTTAAAAATACGAATTCAAAGTCAATTGTCACTGTTGTAGTTGATTTTGGTGGCAGTCTCATAAGTAATTCTAAGTGGTAAGGTCTTTGCCTACTGCGGCCTGGTGAATAATATTGTTTTAAAATAAGACTACTTTCAGCCTCTCCATTTATTCTAAGAGTGCTCAGTTGTATTGGTAACCACCATGGTGCATTTTCTAATAGAATAATATCAATTGGTGCCCAATAGGTATTTGTTATTTCTGTAACAATTCCACCAAATTCTTTACCATAACCTAGGACATAGCGATTGAAATGCAGTGGTGGAGGTATAGTTACTGAAAACTTATTATCTATGCTATGCTTGGCTCCAATATTTATCATAGGGCTGTCAGCTTTTATATCATATACAGCTAATAATGTGTCACTTCCCCCTCTTTGGGACTGAATAATACTGATTGGCTTTGGCGACAATTTGAATGGCAAAGTGTCATTTGATGTAAGATCAATGTAAATCTTACTTGATGATGAAAGTGGACATCCACCAAATAATCCTTGCCCAAATAATAATTTAAAAGACCAGTTGATACTATTTATAATTTTGAAATCATACACAAGGGCAACTGTTTGCTTCACCTCAAAATTGTAATTAGTACATTCATTATTTGAGCAAACTTTTCTTATATGTACACCTATAGAATGGTAGTTTGTATTGTGAATGAGCCTTGAGTTTAAAAGTGACGCAAAACCATGGCTTGATTCACAGGGTAATAACTTTTTCCAGGGTGTTAAGTTTTCAGTACAAACTATTTCTCGAGGTAAAGATGCATATCTTGCAAACTGTGATGTATAATTAAGGCCTATGTTCATAGCTCCTAAGGGTGTCAAAGCCATTTTAGGACTGATTGTATTGTGGGCATCAATAAAATTTAATGATGCACAGAATAGGCCGGAAAGTGTTGCACTTAATTTTTTCCAATTAGCATTGACATCAGTTACAGTTGGTGCGAACCATGCATAAAGTTCAGCACCTGGTGCTGCATCCATGACTGGGTAGCCCCATTGCTTGTGTCGCCATTGTCCTTCTGTTAATGTCAAGTGTAACTCTTCAACTTGAAACCTTGACATTATTTCCTTTAAGGAACGAGGTGCTAGATGAGAGTGTTCATCTAAAAGAATTATATGATAAAATGCTTGAGGACTTTTTTATTCCAATATGTATCTATTAAGCACATTGGACTGATAAGACAAGGAATTATAAAATTAAACTTACATGTATCTCCAGTGATTAGTGTAATAAATTGAAAATATACATATAAGTGCATAGGCGGTAAAGGTTTGATGTATAATTCCTCCTTAAAATCATCGCTGCTTACACTGATGGTTTGAGAAATTAAAAACAAGAGAAATATAATATTTCGAAACTTCGACATTAGAATTAGTTAAATTCGTTTTGACAGCGTTTACTTTTTGACACCGTTACACCGCTATTCCCCTAAAATTAATGTTATTATAGGCCGTTTACTTAAATAATTTTAAATCACCTTACAATAAACAATTCCAATTTCTCATACATGAATATAGGGATGTGAAAAAGTAATCGATTTTTAAATAAATCGATTAAAAATCGATTTTTAAATAAATCGATTAAAAATCGATTTTTTACGCGATTTTTGTATTTAAAATAATCGATTATTTTTATAATTGAAAATCAATCATAGTTGATTTTTCATCTGCCACCTCCCGACATTATGTCTGGTCTTTTATAACTCGGCCTCGAACTATTAGGGATATTCGATATACATCAATGTTTACAATACATTGAATCCGATTCTTTGAAGATGTATTGATATACTCGATGCATTTTTTTTTTGTAAAACATCGAAAGGATGATAAAACCAGTTAATTTTATAAAAACTCAAGTTTGAATGGAACACAATAATTTAAAAGTAAAATAAATTTATTCAGCAGCACAAGATTACATACAATTAAAAAGACAACAAAAATACTGCAATGTGCTGCTGAAAAGGCATACACTCAGCATTTATCAAATTTCACCTAAAATCTATCAAAACGAGATTAAGTTAATTTAGATTTTGATTATTCTTAAACGTTAATTTGTGTTTATAATTTCTATTGTTTATTTTTAATTAAAAAAAAACCATGAAAAATAAAATATTTAAGGGTGTTTATTTTGAAATTAATTCAAAAATTTGGAAAAAATCGATTAATAAAAAAATCGATTATTTATGCAGAATGTCGCATCCCTACATGAATACATGATACAAGTGATACAACTGACAAGTTGACAACACAGACATGATAGATGACGTTTGACACAGTGTAGGATGTTTAAATTAAAGTAGGTGTTTATTGTAAACATGAGTAATATTTTGTATTAATTTCATTTACTAATTCTATTAGACTTAAAATATGTATGTAGCATTTGGCTGCTTTAAGTTTTTTGAAGGATTATACTTTTAATTTAAGAGATTTACTTGCGCATTATACAAGATGGATAATGAATTCCTGGATATATCAACAAGTCTCAAATTGCAACTTGGTTATGGTATTGGTCATGTTTTAAACGATGTATGCGCGAGTTTGTGGTTTACATATTTCTTGGTATATTTCCACCTTGTGCTTGAATTTACTGCTTCGCAGTCGGGCTACTTGATGTTGATAGGGCAAATTGTTGATGCCCTATCCACCCCTTTTGTTGGATATCATTCTGATCATACTGATAATTCTATGAGTGCTAGGTATGGAAGAAGAAAGTTATGGCATTTTTTTGGTATGCATAATACTTATAGTTAATGTATAATTTTTATTTAAATGAGTAGCTCCAGCACAAATATAAATATATACAATATCACAACTTTTAAATTTTTCAGGAACATTATGTGTGATAATATCTTTTCCATTTATATTTTCTGAGTGTATTAGTTGCTCTTCAACTCACAAATGGGCACAAATGTACTACTATGCAGCTTTTATTCTTATATTTCAAATTGGTTGGGCAGCTGTGCAAATATCTCATCTAAGCTTAATACCAGAACTAGCTGATGACGCACATGTTCGAACTCATCTTACAGCAATCAGGTATTAAATAAAAAATTAAGCAAGTCATTTAAAATGCATTTTTATAAATCATTACTTTATGAAGATAGTACCAATAATATTATAATGTTTAATTATCAAATGTCTGAATAGCATCTTAACCATTTTTGTTAAAGTAAACAGGCTCACTTTTCTGTATTATTTATTAGTAAAGTACTTTTTTTTAAACAAAACTGCTTTATCAGATATCGATACAAGTTTTCTACTTTATCGCTGTCATGCTAACAATTCCTACTGTAAAGCACTATAATATCATTTCTGTTTGCAGATATGGATTTACAGTATTTTCAAATTTGTTTGTTTATATTATAACATGGGCTGTTTTTCACTTTACTGGTAATTGTGATAAAGATGTAAGTTATTTTTTTAAATAAATAATAGTTGATAAATAACAGTTTAATAATATCCTTTTGTAGTTTATGAAACTACTTTTCACAAAACTGTAACTGGTTTTCGTTTAAATAATATACATAATTGAAAATTGAATTTTTAATAGTGGTACTTTTATTTTTCTTTACAGCAAATTGGTCCAAATGATGTTTGGAAGTTTAGAGAAATTATGTTAATTGTGATAGCTGTAGGAACACCTGCATCAATTTTCTTTCATATTTCTATAAAAGAAAAACCAGCAAGATATGCTATTCAAAATGATACAGAGAATACAATGACACACTGCAACTTATTTAAGAATATTATCTTATATCAGGTAGAAAGTTTATCTAAATTGCTTCTATATTTCATTCCAATAAATATTTGATATTGTTTCATTCAATCTTACTCATGCCTTAAATTAGCTTCTTTGTTACAATAAGCTAGGCTTTTAATATTTGTAACTTATGGTGTATTGTGGTAATATTACACAATACACCATAATTTTCTTAGTAAAATTTGCTTGAAGATGTAAAAATCAGCTACATATATTTTATGTAGCTGATTTTAAAAATATAAACCTAACTAATAAATGCAAGGCTTTAAGTAAAATTTCAATTGTTAATGGTTTAATGTATTTTAAAATTTTTAATAATATATTTTCACTAAACTAATTAGAAAAATTGGTTATGATTATGTTTGTGTATGTTTTTGTTCCAAAGTTACTTAACTTTGAACAAAGAGACTCAAAAATATTGATTATGATATTGTTTTGATTATGAAATTAGTTGTTGTTAAGGTTATATACATTTGAAGCACTACACTTTATAGGTAGCTGGCGTATATATGAGCACAAGGCTAGTTGTAAATATCTCCCAAGTACTTATGCCGCTATACTTACACCGAACCCTGGGTTTGGCAGCACGTTCCCTTGCTGTAGTTCCATTGGCTATGTTACTTGGCAGTCTCATAGCAGCTGGTGTTCAAAGATTAACACCCAGATCGATAACGAGAAAATATACATTTCTTTTTGGATTCATTTTTTCCCTGTGCAGCTATTTGTGGATCTACTTTGGCTTCGATGACAATTATAAATTTTATTACATATATGTGGTTGCCGTTTTTCTAGGTTAGTAATTATCTACTGTTTTTACTGCAGAAGCACTGACCTATTAGGATTCTAAATTGTACTGTTAAGTGGACTTAATAACTAGTGTTAACTATGAATTAACTATAATAAAAGTGTTGATCCTTGTAATATTCCAAGGTTTAGATATTATGTATTTTATACAAAATAACCCATAAATTTTTAGAACAATCAGATATTTAAAGGTAGGCAGTCCAATGGATATAATTAAGTCATATATGGAATTGTTTTCTTTATTGATTTTCAGGATTTGGAGCTGCTCAAATGTTAGTGACAAGTCTATCATTAACAGCTGATCTTGTTGGTGAAAGTACCCAGGCATCAGCCTTTGTATACGGGTTGATGAGTTTCACTGACAAGCTTTCTTGTGGGATTGCTATTGCTGTAATCCAAATATAGTAAGTTTAACTAATTCTACTAGCTTCAGAGTGTTATTTCTTCAGTTGATAAAAATAGTCACGATCTTAGTATAACTAACAGTCCGAATAAAATAATTAGAGATTTATTTTGTTTTTACTGTTAGGTATTAAAAAGTAAATGTTATTTCAGTGCAGATGAAGCAGAGGCAACATATTATCAATATGTGTTATCCATAGGATGTGGTGCGGCAGCTGTTATGGGACTAATGTTTACGCTATCTTTGCCTAATCTTACTCACAACAGAATTACAGTTGGAAGTAAGTAGAATCAGTAGAAATTTTATTATTGCTGGTTCACCCACGTTCTAATCGAAATTCAGTTTACTTATGTATTTTAGTGTCTCTGTGATTGTATCTAGCGCAAATTATTGTTAGCTATATGAGTATTATTTTGAATGAATTTTGGATCAAAATTTATTAAAACACAGGCAATCTCAACTTAATCATATTAAAATCCTATTTGAATATCAGTTTACAATACATTTTACGTACCTATTACATTTTAAAATAGACTTGATGAAACTCTTTTCTTTCCAGTCCAGTTAAAGATTTTTAAAAGACACATTATTGCCAGATTTAAATTTATAATTATCTTTTCAGATATTCAATCTACAGATGCATCCGACCATGAAACTGTACCAACAGGACCAGATATTTAATTTAAAAAACATTTTTATTTAAGTTTTAAATATGTTTTATAAGGTTCAAGTGATATTATTTCTATTAGAAAAATAAATATGGAATAAATAGATTTTCTTAAAGATACAATAGTCTTATTTATGTGAATTCATTCCTGTAGAAACAAATCAAGAATATTTATTTAGAGCTGTGCAATAAGGTTGAGTTTAGTTGCCTATCTATATGAAAAATTTAATTAATCTCTTTTAGTGATGGTAGTGTAACATTGTTCTATAAAAATACATAAGAAATTATTTAAAAATTCCTATTGATCCTTTATCTTTAGATTTGATTATAAATAATATTCAATATGGTGAATAAAAATATTTTAATATCACATAAAAGCTTGCTCAGCAATTTTGGTACAAAAGTGAGAATTTAAATAAGTTTAATAAATAGTAGCTAAAAAGCCGGCAGTCTTAAGCACAATTACAAAAAGGTTCAACTGATATTTATTCCGTAGCAGCTAGTGCCATTACAGTAAATCGCACCTCATTGGGATCTCTTGCCATGAATTCCTTACAAACTTTGGCAGCATCTTCCAGAAATGTCTCTGGAGATGTAGGGCCATGATTGATAGGAAAAGCTTTACGGCCATCCAATTCATACAATGCACCATCCTTGTGTACAAAAGTTATGAAGTGATGATTTACAGGTTCATCAGGATTGGCTTGAGTTTGACCTTCCTGTGCTAGTTCTTTGTGAGCATTGATTATACCTTCACTGTTATTGAACAATGTACTGCGAGCTGTAGGATCCAAGTCCTTAGCTGATTCAAGAAACTTTTTCAAGTGACCATCAGCAATTTCAATCTTATCAGTATTATTTGCAACAGCATGGATGACAGCAATTGTGCCACATGCATTGCTGATATTTTGTTTCATATAAAATAAATGTTTTGACACTTCTTGACCTTTGGAAAGAATTTCTGCTTCTTCATTTCTTTTATATTCTTCATAAGCTTCCGACAAAGGAAACAAAAGAGTCACAGCTACGGAAGGGCTGGGGACCCAAGATAACATCTCAGGTTCAAGCCCCATCACGTCTACAATATTCCATTTTGTAGAAACTCCATGTTTCTGAAGAAACTTGTTGATAACATCAGGATTGGATTCCAGTGGAACTAAAGCTTCAGCTGCCATTACGATTTCTAAAGATAAAAGTAAAGTAGTAAGTAGTTATCTAACTAAATTACAAGTTTTTTATAGGTTACCGCATAATTTAAATTTAAAAAATTGATTGATTTAAAGGTCCATAGCTATTATTTATTTTAAAACAACACTTTTACTTACGATTTAAATGATATCTTAGTGACGAATTAGTACCTAGTCCAATATATGAAACTGCAAAAGGTATTCGAACCCTGCGAAATTTTTATTGATCTACAAATTTGAATTTACCTTACTCATCATAACACAGACAATTGATATTTTTGCAATAGATTAGTTATAGAAGTTTACTTCATAAAGACATTCGTTTCAGTTACTATGTTTTAAACCATAGATAATAAAATTGTTACTTTTAAAAATGTATTGTTATAGTTTTTTCTTTTTTAAGGGGCTAGCTATTTTATACTTAGTTTGCAATTGCATGTGATGATTCCCTCTACCAAATCTGTGTTGGCTTATGGCTATGTTGAATGTTCTTTAATCCAGGGGCCTTATACAAGATGCCTTAATAGTAGTGTATGATGAAAGTCAGAAACGAAATTTGTATGAAAACTTTTCGACACGAACTGTCATTTCCATACAAATTAAGTTTTGTTGATTAGTTACGACAGTACGCTCAGTGGTGACAGTGACACTGTGAAATATGACATATGATTTTTGGACAACTGACACATCTGTCGTGTTTTGTAAATTTTACTTTTAGTCATTATTCACAAAAATAGCTTAGAAATTTATTGCTAACTTTTCTATAACTTTATAGATCATATTCTACGCCAAATGTTTACGAAAATCCCTACATTATGCAAACAGTAAACTATCGACGGGTACTTGCCAATATGTAAAAAATATGAGCAGATCGATAAAGTTAGAACAAGTTGATAAGGTTAAAATTATAAAATGGCTGTTTGTGGTCTTAGGACGCTTCTATTAATCGTCTGTATCTTGGAGTTGGTAATTATCATTTTATAATGAAAGTGGTGATTGGGACCCAAATAAGTTTCTTACTGATACTATTAATGACTGGTTGCAACGTGCTTCTCAAACGAATCTGATCACCTACTTACATTCGGCATAGGAAACGTAAAAAAGGTTACAAACAGATTTCAGTTAGTCTAGTTGAAGCAGGTGCATTTCTTATGTTTTATAAATCATAAGAATTCAATAAACCATAAGAATTCAATTCAATATCTAGCCTTAAATGGCTATTTACTGATTCATGAGTCTTAAAGTCAAATAGGGTGATTTCAATAGACAATAGCTAGTTACCTTATTATTATTACATTTACTCTGAAAAATATTAATATGAAATATACTAACCAATACTTAGAAAGATTGCAGTAGTAGTATACAACAAATGTTTAGAAAATTAATAGTTGCTTTAAATTATTTTTAGATTGTGACAGTACAACGGCAGGTCTTTGATTTCCTGGGTTACATGTGGTTACCTATTATAAGTAATTTTATAAATATTCTTCTTATCATATTTGGGTCTTTTGGAGCTGTGCAGTATGTGACTACATATCTTGTTGCTGTGAGTTTAATTTTTCTATAATTACAGTATAAACTTCAGGTAATGTCACTAGATTTAACATTAAATTTTAGAAAATATAGAAATGTATTAACTTTAGTTGGTTTGCCTTGTAAAATGTAACATTCCTTTTATATAATGACAATTTTTAATGTTATAATGTTAGATCTAAGACACAAATCACATTTCTAGAGCATAGTTAGCAAGATAAAATTAATAATTGTGTGAAAAATTCAGTTACCAAATGTTTTTTTTAGTATGCCCTGTGGAGCTTATTGTGGTTGACATGGAATATTTTTCTGATTTGTTTTTATCTTAATGTTGGAACTCTTAACAGGGTAAGTGCTATTTTTATAATCGTCCTAAAAAAATATTATGTTTTGTTAATAGTAAAGCGAAATTCAATAGTTATACAGTATATTATGTACACTGAGGATGCATGATGTAAGTAGCAAATTATTTTTTTTACAGGAAGGTGGTTTTTTATCACTTGGCACTGGAAGTGTTAGCTGGTGGGAGAGTAATGGTTGGGGGTGTCAACCTGTGTGGGGAGAGGTTGATGGGCCAGGGTCTTGGAGACCGGCCAGAGTAGATGGCTGCTTTTTACCCTGGCACCACATTGAACTGGCACAGTCTTCAATAGCTGCAATACTTACTGCCACAGCCTTGCCACTTACTATATTACTTGCTTTTAGGTCTTTTAAGAGACATAAACCATCTCCAGGTAATATTTTTTATAATCTTAATTTTATTGAATTGCTTGATACTTCAGCCAACTGCACACATAAGCATTTAAAAAAATATAGTATTCAAAAATTAATGATACTTTCAGACAAAGGCACCTTACAAAGACGCCAGGTTTACACAATAGAGTTAAGTCCCACCGAGACAAATATAAGCGAGAGCTCCCTCAAACCCATGACTCCACGCCGTGTGAAACGACGTTCTCGCCGATCTTATAGAAACGCTGGCTATATAGCTTCAAATGCATCATTGCCTGCCGATTCTAGAACATCGCGACCTACTTCCGCCCATTCCTCTTACTCAAATTTTCATGCAGCACGGCCAAATTCATACATTCACCCGCCAGATAGTACTATTTGCTCCCAAGATACATATGAATTGCCACCTCCACCAGTTGAGTCAATACCAATAATGACTAACAGATATGAAACTGTGAGGAGAAGTAAGGCTAAACGAGGGCAGGATGTCGTTGGGCCATACAAAGAGCCAAATAGATATGAGCCGCCACTGAACTACGATAACAATGCGCCGTATCAGGTCAATCGGGGATACGAAGGACAAAGCTATGAAAACAGGGAAATGTCTCCAAATGAGAGTTTATATGTGGGTAGTGGTTATGGAGGTGGTTACGTGTGCGAAGGAGCTTGGGAGGCACCTCCTCCCCCAGCTCCGCCTTACTCCGCCAGAGCCACCCCACAGGCGCCAGGGCCGCCAGCATACCAGCCCAATAATGATCCTTGTGATGAATGTAACACTCACTTAACCTAGAATCTGATAAGCCATATTGCCATATTCTTTCTGGCCGCAGGGGGAGGTAACATGACGTCGAATGAATGCGTCGCTAAATTTCTGTCAACACTGTCTTTACAATCCAACACCAAAATATTCTTTAAACAAAAGAAAATAACAAAGTGATTTTTTTACAATTGTGTGAATATAAATTTATTAAAAAATATTAGTAAATAGGAGTAATAAACTAATCACAATCATTTGATGAAGTGGGAAATTAAAACAATCTCAGCATCTTTGAACTTTGAGTAATAAAGTCTATCCTATTATATTTGGTAACAAAACCGCATTAAAATAACTTTAGGTTTTTCAATCACTGTGAGCCAGTGCCTTCCAAGTTCTGTTTAATGTGTTTTACTAATAATTAATGTTCACATAAACGGTTACGTTTATGAGCAATGTCTAGAAGTCTAGTGGCGCTCACCTTGCAGCTCAATGAAGTATGATATTTTTATTACAGTAGTAGTTAGATTGTTAAACATTAGTTAGGACATCACTGTTATCTGCCTTTCGTACTTAAGTCATTGTTGTTGTATAAAATACATTTTATTGTTAGGCGAAACGATTTTTTTAATGACGTTTATATAAGACAACGAATCTCTTTAGAACTATTTTTCTAGGTTTTTACTTACATTCCATAAGCACAAACTTTGTCCGTCCATGTAATAAAAAGGAATTTAACTAAAATAAATTTAAGTTTAATGGTACCTGTATGACAATGCATTTCCTTGTTAGCAATATATTGTTCTACAATTGATATACAAAATGAGCTTTATTAGAATAAGATTTTTTACTTTTAAGTGAAACATTTGGAACATTTATACCAAATATACATGAAATGAAACTAGTTTATTTTATTTAAATTATGATGTAGGGAGTGAAGAAAAAAACCAAAATGAGCATTGTAAATATATTCATATACAAAATGACCCTAAATCAAATTGTACATAATGAAAATGATGTTTTCGTATTTCTAAATTATAAAACTTAAACATCGTTTCTTACTGTTTTGATGTAAGATTTAAATATTATATTTTTAATAATAATGCATATACAAAAAAGGGTTCCCCACATATTTATAAAAAACAAAATCAGTAACACACCAGAGTCAAACAAAATCACTCTAACTAACTGTTTCGTCTTTTTGCCAAATTGCGATTTATGCTGTGTCTATCACAGCATGAGAGAGACAGGGTAGTTAAAATAGGGCAAAGATTTATTTTTTATGAATAAGGAGGTAAATTTACACGCTTTAAACTAAGACTAGGGATGACATTTCTTAACATGAACATTAATTAAGACAAAGTATTGCAGTAAAGTTTTAGATATTTTCAGTATTATATAGCGGGTAAGGTTTTCCTTTCGGCGGCCGTGAGATCCGGGTGCCAAACATCCACTATAAGTACAAGTCTTGACCCTGTACCATTATGCCATACTTCATGTTCAAAACTGTCATCAAAGATGAAAACTTTGCCTAACTCCCATTGCCTGAAATACAACCTTTATTTTGAATTTTGTCTAATTGACAATTTAACGCAGAATAAAAAAACGCGCGTAAATAACAGTTAATAATTTGAAAAGTAGTGTAAACGTTTCAAAAATTAGTTTATTCAGCAAATTTTCTAGTAATCATGATTTTAGATGCTATTGCGATGGTGAAGTCTACTTAAGGAGGCTAAGGCCCACAGGGGGCTGTATAGCCATTGATGATGATGATGATGATAAATGATTTTAGATGGAAGAGATAAAACCACAGGGACATTCTACGTCACAGCTTCATCTAAATTCTAATTAGCCGATACCAAACCAAAATAACCGCTGCCCATAGACAGAAGACTCGCGAGTGCTATACCGGCCTTTTGGGTACGCTGTTTCTTGAAGGATCCTGAATCGTTGGTATTTATAAAAATCCAGCAATAGCAATATTTAAACAGACTAATGTGTCAACACGTACCTAGTCACTTTCCCAACTCTGATATACGTGTCTTTGGTGTTGCTGAGAGCTAAATGCATCCTCAGACGACAGTTAGTGGGCCCGACATGAGGTCTTACGTGGGTACCAGCCTCCATTAAACTGAATTTTATTTGACCTCTGCGGCATCGGGCACTTGCCTCTTGACTTACTGAAATAAATTAGACAATTTAGTTTATTGAAGTCGGTTAAAAAACCAAAGTTAGTCAGTAAAATCTATGAAAATCGGTTTAGTGGTTTATGCACTAAGCATAACTCGACGTAAAATAGGACAATCCAGAAAAGAGGATTTTTTACATGGCTTGCTAAATTATCATAAAACATATTGATAGCTTATAGATTTAAATACCTATAGAACACGTGACAGGCGCGCGTTTGCACCTTCCTGGAATCTCCTGTCCCCTTACAAAAACATCCAATTGTGACCATTCTCCCCTTTCCTTTAACCCTTCCTTTTCCTTTTCAAATAATTCCTTTGCCGCTAAACCTTCTTTAAGAATCTCTTTCCATGAATTCTCCAAGTCCCGAACAAGTTTTACATAAGGTGTAGCTTCAATTGGCCACCAGGGCCGACTTTTTAATCGAGCCACATTGTACAGAGACCTTTGTTCTGGGGAGAGAAAATGGCCCAATTTTGCCCCCTTTTCGTGAATTTCTTGTGCTTCTTTAAGTCTTCCGAGCTGCAATAACGCATCTCCCAGGTGGTAAAAAAATCGGGGTTCATTAGCGGCTTCAGCATCACCCTCTAAAGCCTTTTGTAAATATATGACAGACTCTTCCAATTTGTTGAATTGGTTTTTTAATACGAATCCATAGTGGGCTAACGCTATGCGATCGTTCGGCCATAGTTTAAGAGTTTCTTTGAGAACTGTATCTGCTAAGTCCGCCCTGAAATATTTACTCCCAATAAATATAAAAGTGAAAAGCTAAAGTCATATATTTTATATTATGTGCAAGGTTAATTTTTTTTAAATCTTTATAATAAGTAATAATCTGTGCGAAAAGAGAACCGGCTTTGCGGTTATGCCAACTAGCTTCTGGACGGTATAATTCTTAGCGTCATTTCAGTTATTTGGAAAAATTAATATTTAACTAAATATACTTTAATATCTTTCATATTAAGTGTTGTCAACAATAAAAAAGGTAATTTAGCACTGCAGTGATCTCAAGACGGTTCTCTTTCCGCACAGACTATTTAATATTTACAATTTTTATACCTATTAGCCATGAGGAAGCTCACTGTCAAATTATTCCGATAGTGCACGTTATCAGGGAAACGACGGATCAATAAACGGTATACAGGTTCGGCATTCAAATATGTACCTAAAAATTTATGTTTGTACCTAAATTTTTCTCATTTTATGGATTCAAAATCTAGTTAAAACTTGGAAACAATTAATTGGCTTATACATAACGGTCATTAATTATTATAACTTCTGCATCTATTTAGTCCTTTAAAAAATTATATTATGAAATTCGTGTCTATTGATTCGTATCAAAGTGTGTGTACCCAAAAATTAAAATTATAAGTGCCTTATGAATAAACATTTTAATTAAAGCTTACCTCTAAATTGTATTCTATCAATAGCTCGTCGAGCGATCTCCACGAGTTTTCTATCCGATAATCGTTCATTCATCTTAAGTAGCTCCACGTAGGCTCTAATGGCCCTCGAAAGCAAGCGGTTATCTTTCTTCGCTTCTGCCATTAAATCCAAACATTTTGCGACGACGTATTGCGCGCGCGCACTGCCTTTTAGTTCCATCGCAGACGCTCGTTGCTCGCACGAAGGCCACGCCCCCTCAATACGTTAGTCAACATTCACACAACATCTCAAACTTAACTACCAAAATTTATAGCTAAATACATACGAGGCTAAAACTAACAACAAATATTCTGATATAGTAGAATTTTTAAATAGGTTAAATTATTGAAAAACAAAATAAAACAGAAACGACTAAGTTAGTCATCAAAAGATCGGCAGGGGAATTATGCGCGGGGTGCGGGCGCATAATACAGTCTGACCGACCTAAAGACGAAAAATAAAAAAAAATGGCACAACGAGCAAAGTTATTAGTAGATTGCTATTATTCCAACCAGCCCTGTAATAATAACATTAATGTAATTGGTTGATTCTGTGAATGTTTGTTGGTGGGTCTAGAAATGTTAATAGTGTCTGGCATATAAGTTGGCCATTGTTAGATGCGTAGAGGTCGTTTTGTAGGTTTCCTAATACTAAAAGTATATGCGCGAACTCTCTTCCACTACGCAAAATTTGGCCATATTACGTGCCGAGACCAATATAAAAACATGCACTTGTCATGCTTTACGGTTAAAAACAAACAAAAGTTTGACGACCACCAACAATTTCGACGAGATATTATATCAATTATACTACTATTTCAGGCAAAAATACCTTACTCTTAATAAAACTGTGTTTAATTCCCCTATTTTATTTTCGGGATATAATGCAATCAAAAAATTACTACTTATGGAGAATTCGTTGATATTTTTTGTTAACTTTTACTGGTCAGTAAGATCAATGGGTTGGCCATTAATGTGTCTGCCTCATAGACTTAACATTCCAATAAATCTTTTCTAATTCCAGTTGTTGAATGCATACCTGTCGAAGTTCTTCTTCGGCAAGATCTAGTTGCTGTGACCAAAAGGGGTCGTTAGGCTCTCCCGGCCAATCATCTTCTATACTATTACCACCTCCTTCTGAAATAAGAAAATTATATTTTTAAATTTATAAATAAAACTATATGTTATTAATATCAAAACTGTTATCGTTAACGCCGAGAGTAAAACGAATTTTTAAATAATTAACTAAAGGTAAAGAGAATACTACTTATATACTAACTTGGAAATTATGATAAACATTTAGAGCTATCAAACATTTTGATTCTACAGCACAAACGAAAATAGTTAATATCACTCACATGGTTAGTCATGCCAAATTATTGCTAAGTTATTGCACATGCCAAGGCTAGTGTTATGCAGCGAGCG